CATAGAATAGCATTATTAAAAAAATAACAATGTAACAAAAAATGTTAATAACAAAGGTATATCTCTAGTTTTCAAATATTTGATGTTTTGGTGGTCGTTTGTTTGCTGTATATAAAACACAGTAGATGACGCCAAACATTGGCAAAAATGTAGTAAAAGACAATGTAGATAAAATACGGCTATAAGCCGTTTAGCTCAGTGGCTAGAAGACGCAGGATCAAATGCCCGTAATCTGCAAACATTACATTTATTTTTCTAATAATTTTTTCTATTTTTATCTGTGTTTCTGCCAAAATTTAATAGACTTACATACTATACATTAATGTAATATGGAGTTTTTATTATGGGCCATACCATCAACACATTATACGTATATTTTTGAAATAATTCAGAAAATTGATTAAATAAAATTATTATAATAATCAATATTTTACAACATGATATCTGAATTTAAGTGACAACAGATATCAAAATAAAGTTATTTTCCCACTTGGAAACTGCTGCTCTGTGTGTATATAAAATTCCAATAGCTTTATTTATGGCACATGTTTAGATAAGTTTTCTTTATTAATTGCTCTCAATTTTACAACCATAGCATTTTATTTTAATGACGCTCACAAAACCTGATTCCCGCCTACACAATTTTCTAACAATCTCATTACAAATCGCAAAGTGATTTTGTATGTTTTAGAATTCTATTTTTTTTTATATAAAACAGTATACTAGAAGTACAAATGATTAAATTTAAACAGATACAAGTTGATTTTAAAGAAGGCTATAATATCGTTAATTAAACTAAAAAGAAAACTAAGAAGCTGTAGGAATGTGAAATGTCGGTATACAGAAAAACAAGAAGGAATAAGATTACAATTTTAAAATAAAAAAAATTTAAAGCAAAATAATTCATTATGTATCAAGCACAATTCTGAGAAGGTACATCATTTAAAAATTTTGTATATATATCTATCGCAAAACTTTAAAAAGTAACAGTTATTTTAACAAGGATCCTGGATTAAAAACGATCTAGAATTCGTTCAGCGGTATTTTTACGTTCCATCTTAAGTGCAGAGAAATTATAAATTAAATTATTGCATATCCTATAGTATCCATGTAATCATTCGATAGATTAAATACTTATATGCAAAACAATAATTTACTTCAGAACCGTTGTATGCATCTAAGATTATCTATATTCAACGTTGAACCTTTATGTCAATTAATCTAAAAATTTATATTTTTGTACGTGCCTATCTTGATTTCGAAAGTCATTTAGGCGCGGAACCCTGAAAAAATGAGGGGTTTCCTCTAGCATTCCGAATTATATTCAACCAAAAAGCCATTTAAAATCAACCGTTACTTTTTACAGATATAAATTGCTTACATTCCTAATTTAAATAGTTTTATTTTATCAAATTAAGCCTGACAGTCCGCTTTTGCAAGCCTAGAATCATACACACAGTCCGACTCTCCGGACATTATAACACATTTATTAGACTTATTGGCTACACAGTGTACAAACTCCTTCCAAAAGATTTGGATTGGACTTTTCGAGAACTTTACGTTCACGGATTTGGAATTCCCAAATAGAAAAATATAAATTCCGGGAAATGGTAGTTCCAATATCTACAATGGTACATAACAAAAGGATTCGGCTCGACCTTAATGGGGACGTCATAGCATTTTTTTTAAAAGGTCCTGTTAAATTAGCGGTTAGTGGAAATTTCTCAAAACTTCACACTGACTAACCAGCGGCAGTCAAAATGTAAAAATAAACGAGTAATAATAAAACGTTTATTTATATTGTCTAAAAATATATATTAGTGAAGTTTGTATGTACCTCAGAATTTATTTGTTAAATGTTAGTTTAATTGGTTATTTATATAACTAACGAAATTTGTGATTACAGTAAAGTATAAAGTATAACATTCGAAACCATAGTAGAGATCTTAAACGATGTTGAAGTCGATTTAGTTCACACAACATCATAATTTTATAAGGTTTAACTAAAATAATTAACTTAAATAAGTAAGTAACATTATGAGTTTCTAAGGATAAATATGAATTATTAACGTTCTTGTACTGGCAGGACGTTAGAGATTTGCCGTTAGCTGAATAAACGAGTTTCATTTTCCCGCCATTTTAATCTGTCAACGTCGTACAGTGTGCAAAATTTCTATTAATACAGAATGAATTAAAAGACCATAATAAACATAACCTTGACACAGAACTTGCGAGGAAATCCGCACCCTTGTCGGTAATAATAACTAGTACAAGGGGAGTAGGGCTCCGCCCCAGGGAAGCGGGGCCCACCCTGAAGCTATCAGATTAAAAATCAATTCAACGACAATAATGGCGGCAATGAGATGGCGACGCTCGCAGGCGGAAAATTAAATAATGTGCGCGTATTCATCCAAAGTTATGGTACAAGGTTACGTCTTTGGACAAGGGCGTGTGTTAAATGCACATAGAGCTTCCAGTTTCCCTTATACGGAATATAAATAATATTAGAAGGAACGATACTTACGTATCGTTAGTAATATTAAAGAAGGAACGATACTTACGTATCGTTCCTTCTTTATTATTCATTCCGTACTCTTAATACTTACTTTATACTCAATTAATTCCTAGTTCATGATTCAGGGAGTCTATGATTCATGGCTGTAATTTTATCAATAAAATTTATTATTATTATTATAAACTATTCTACTATAAACTAAAACACATACAATATTAAATACTTACTTAATTACGTGGTATCAACAAGATTTTAAGGAATATATAATTTATCGAATTTTTACTTTTAATGAATTTTATTCTTGTTTTAATTTTATATTTTATCCCATTATTGTTTTTCCTTCTAGCTGAATAAACATTAAATGCATATCTGGTAGACACCTTTTCCTTTTTTAATTGAATAGGAAAATGACGTAGATACCTAAAAATTTGTAAATAAATACATATTATATATATAGATATATAAACATCTAGCCACTAGAAAAACATTATGGTCTTCACACAATATTTTTCTAGTAGTGGGATCGGACCCACACCCTCTGGCCCAAGAGATAGGGTATATAGGCTATCCACTTCGATGCACGACAATTGGGTCGTCAAATGATAGGTGCCTGCCGACAACTACGGGATAGATTTGAACTAAATCTTGTTAGTCTTATTTCTTAGAAATATCGCCATTGTTTAACAAAAAATTATCATTAACATTATTAAATATTTAAGATTTTTTTTAGATATAAATAAGTAAATGGCCCCCATATCAAAAAAATTACCTTTATTACTGTTTATTCTACTGGTGGTTTTGTAATTACATTCATTGACCCAAAATTACAACATATGCCATATCCATAAATACAATGTCATACTTAAAATTATCCCATAAATAAATAATATGGATGTAAGCGAAGTCACTTGCATTTTAAAAGGGTCAGGGGCAAATAACAATAAATTTTATTACTTGAACTTGTGCTTAATATTGACTGCTTTTTAAATAAAAAAAGTTAGCACATTAAGGATATTAACTGAAGTTTATCCGTTTTTAATGCCTATATTAATATAAATGTATTAATTTATTTCTTTTTAACCGACTTCAAAAAAGGAGGAGGTTTCTCAATTCGACCGTATGTACTTTTTTTTTATGTGTGTTCGGGGATAGCTTCGTCATTTATGAACCGATTTTAATGATTTTTTGTTGGAAAGGAGATATCCTCAGGACGGTACCATGATAGGGAAACCCAGATCTGATGATCGCATCCCAGAGAAATCAAGGGCAATCCACAATTGTTATAGGCGTTGAAAATGTTTTTTTTTAGTTTTCTGTTTAAAGTCGGTTTTTTTTGTTCAAAATTATTTATTAACTTTATAGGCCGCAGTCAGATACAATATGAACTTACTAGGATTAAATGTGTTTATTTGCATATCATTCAGTCTTATGGGCTTATCAATAAGAATACATTTTGACAAAATAGCTATTTGAGAATTTAGCAATATGATTATGATTCACTCAATGCGAACGTATGCTGCGATGCAAAGCCGAATTTATGTAAAGCTCAAATTATTGATAAACAATTTTACAAAGATCAGTTTTTTTAGTAACAAAAATTTGTTTAATTGAACAAAAAATAACGTGCCAAATTGCCGGAACGTGGGAATCGCGAAAGTGGGTGAATGACATCGCTGAAATTATAACACATGTGAATATTCATGAAATTTCCATAAAAAACAACACGTGCAATAATATATTTGTTTGAAACTACAAATTCGTATTTTAATCTAAATGCTCAAATGGCAGGCTGATGCGGAACGCTTGAATTATTCATCCGTTATTCGCCATTTAAGATAACGATATATAATAGTTTTTTTGTTGTTCAGTTTTTACAGGCAACTTTGAAACTTATAAGACTACATCACTATAACTACTACAACTATAGTTTTACTACAATAGTACAACTACTCTACAACTATAGGTCAGTGGTCAACGTGAGAAACAAGAAAGGACGTCCAGTTGTACCTTGCATAAGGATGAAATAATGGCATTTTATATTTAACAGTTAATTAATTATATTAATTTTTAAACTGTAGGGCCACGCAACAGTCTTCTCTGTTTCACGAATGGGCAGGACCGAAGAGACTAGAACCAAAACATCTTTTGATTAACATCTCAAAAGTTATATAATATATTCATGTGGGCTCCTATTGACTACCCTAAACTTGCAAACCGTTAAACCATGCCGTTCAGAAGCAATATACAAACCATACATAAGACGATATTTTGCATTAAATCATTCGCCATTTCGTATTCAATATGGGGAACATTTTATTCGTTATGCAAACCAGCCAAGGAGATCGGAACCGTACCGAATCTAATTCGCCCCTTTAAACGCTGCCGAAGGGTTGTCAGAATCTCCCTCTGGCTGTCTTGAATTCGCCAATTTCAAAGCATCGTCCACGGCCCGTTTAACCGACCAACGGTACACACGGACACAGTTATGTTGGATGGATGCCTTTGCGCGGCGTCACTTGACAGCGGCGACCTTGGGGCTGCGGCCCCGGCGGCCTTGGGATGCCGTGGGGCTCCGACAAAGCGGCCGCCGTTAAAACTAGTCCCCGCTGAATGCTCCGGAAGCGGTCACGGTCGAACTATAAAGAAGAGCCCCGTTTATGTACCTACGTGCGTAGCCTAGGGCGAGTTGGGGCTGCCGATTGTGCGCGGCCGATTATGTTACCTCTCTATTCAGACGTCGAAAGGGAGGCGACGGTTATTTTTAATAATTCACTCCTACTATTCGATGTTAATAATTTCTCGTTACGCGAACAATGAACAGTACTTTATGGATGTTTGTACTGGTTACGTCGCGTTTCGTTTGTATTTAACTTTACTGCGGTAGGGTTAAGCGACAATATTAGCTGTTTCACGAATGGGCAGGTCCGTACCAGGATCTCACAGAAGACCGGCTTGAAGTGGCAGTGTTACAATTGTGCGTTTCGTCTGGTGAGTGAGACCCAGGCTCTATTAATTGTAGCAACGGATTTGAAACCATTGAAAGTGTTCCAAATGTCAATGGGCGGCGGTTATCACTTAACGTAAGTTTAACCGCAAGCTCGCTTGCCATTTTCTTATATAAAAAATACTGTCAACACCTTAAAAGAGTTTGATAGATTTAAAGCCTAAAATTAATGAGATAAAATCTACTAAAATCTTTATTATTATTTTATTATTAAATTTTAAAGAGATAATCTGTAAAGAAGTTTTGTTAAATGTTTTATGCAAAAACAAGTGTTTGTGTATGATGTTTACATAAAGTTAGATGTTCTTCCACAGTGAAGACCTGCAGATGATGTTATTGACTTCCCCAAGTCAACAACTTCTCAGATTTCCACACGCCTTCATCGCACGTAGGCGCGCTCATCTGTTAACTATTTTGTTATTACTTTACAGCAATTAATACCCTGGGAAAGTGTTTGTTTTTAATGCTTCAGTTGTATAATTACGGGGCCAGGTGAAATTTAATGCAAGTGAAAACTTAGTATAGAAATTAGAACTAATATTATACCAACTACTGCAAACTATAATTTTGCTAATTTTTAATATTAAAGATGTGTTTTCTTTTATATTACATACATCCTAGAACGTACAGTGTTTTTTCTTGCAAACTTACCATTCCAATTCTTTCTAGACTAACTCGCCTTATGATTTAAATTAAAAAAGGTACCAAACTCAATGAACTTCATCAAATAGTACGATTCGACATTCTGTTAGATGCAAGTTTATTTACACATTGGCGTGAGTCAATTAACAATTAACGCTTGATTACGCAGTCCATACCCTCTGTACAGAAATATATAGGCTGTTATTTTACTTTAATAATAAAAATAAATATTTTAGGATACATTTTTACACAACGTTCTCTAGTCCCAAAGCAACGCTTGTACTATGGGTACTAGATAACTGATAAACATACTTTTCTTGTGTATATAAATACATATTATACATATATAAATACTCAGACACTGGAAAAACACTATTTTATCACGCAATATTTTTCCAGTAGTGGGGACCGAACCCACACCCTCTGACGCAGGAGGCTGGTACACTACTCACTACTCCATTCGGTTAGTCACTTTATTCTACTTTACTTTTTACAAAGTCCATGTTACATATTTTGATTTTTATAGTATGTTAAATTTGATTTTTAAAACTCTTGTGTAAGAAAGATTTTACACATGCGTAATCTTGACAACATTGAAACCACTTCGTATTTATAATCTATGCAGTCCCTTTCTGTTTGAAATGGGGAGTATATTTCTTAGTAAAATGTTTCCATTCTTTTTCAATGTCTCGAGCATGTGGGCACAAAAAAATTTAATCTGTGCAAAATAAGATCAAAGCTCCTCCATTCAAAGAACATGCGTACTTTGATGCGCTAGCGAAGCTTTTATCTCCCCAGGTAGGTATCACCGAGGATAGTATGTACGTATGTATGTATCCATCGTACAAGTAACGTAAGATATTTGTGAAATACACTAATACTGTACTTTTTAGTAAATTGATGTAGGTACAAATGTGATGTCAAGTTTTACCACGGGTTTGAGGTCGGGTAAATTAAATATTTACCAAACTACAAGACCTGCAGGTACATAGTACGGATGGAACTTATTAGTTGGTAAGCTATAACTTTACAGCGATCTTAGTAATATTAGTAAGCATTTCAATATATACTGCTTAAAGTCTTAATTCAAATGTTTTTGTCAATTAGCATATATGAGTTTTTGTTAAGCATTTGAGTATCTTTAAGCAAAATGTTCTATATATTGACGACATTACTGAAAAGTTAAGGAAAACGTACGTATAGATGAACACCAAATCTGTATAGATTTGGATTTTAACTTTCGACTCCCAAGCTTAATTGGAGGTCCAGAGAACTCAGAGAAGTTAAATCTTTGGTACAAAGAAATTATACGCGTTCTGATAGTTTTGCGTTTGTTATTAACGTTTTAACATGCTCTCTAAATTATCTGCGTATTGCAGCCGTTACTTGCCTTATACTATACTTACGGAAATTAACGAATCAACGCTAAACTATTTTCAGAAGGGCTTGTAAGATATAGAATAGATTTTTTTTATTTTGTATTATTAAAAGAGTCTAAATCCTGCGAAGAAATTTCGACGTCGACTTTGAGGGCTTCGGCGCACGTAAAGCCGAACCCGGGGGATTGTCAGATTCCAAATCCACGCTACGGTGACCCTCGCGCGGATTTGTTCCGAACAAAACCGCCGTCCGCTGTGTGCGTGCACTTGAGCGGCGCAGGTGTGCCGCTCTATTCATCGCGGCGGTTTCCTTGCGCGCAGCTGGCGGGGCCGCTGTCAGTTTGGGCGGGCTTCTGCGCTTTTTATTATCTGTGCACTATGTATTATTACGTTATAGCATGCGCTGTGGATGTGTAATCTGCTCGCAGATTTTTAATTTTTTACCCGTTTTATCACTATAAGTTAGGTATGCTAGATTTTTACCATGATTTTGTGTGATTACCAATTTTTTTTTACTTGTTTCATTGAAAGCGTCAGTGGGAACTGAAAACTCACTGGAGATCTTAATCTCGATATAGAATGGGGATCGGTATACAAATATGTAATCGGAGATTGCTATAGCCGTTACTCTTCTTCATCTCTATTCCGATTTGAAAGGCGAAATATATTTATTCCGTCAATACGTAGGACTGTATAAATTAATGCATGAACTGGGCTTCGCATAACTATTTCTCACGACTTTTGATACTATGTACTAGGGAAAATATCAAATAATATAAACAAAATTACAAACTGTTTTCATAGAAAAGAAAAAAAGATACATTCAGAATGGATCAGGTTTAAATTAAAAAATACAAAACAATGTCATTATGACTTGAACAAAGCTGTAGGTACCTAGGTAAGAAATTAATTTGCCTTGTGCCTTTATACTCTTTATTTTATGGAATGATAAAATTGAAATTGTCACCTTAGCTTTACCAGTAAATAACAAATTTATTAGGGAAAACATTTATTATTACACATTTTGATAAACGGCGTAAAAAAAAAAGAATGTAAAATCAAAATATCAGGAAACAAACTAGATAACACGATCTTTAAAATTAATACTTGAGATGGCCGAATCTCGGTCCTTCGTCAACCAATCACGAGTAGATTTTGTCAATTTTTTATTAAGTTTAACAGATAATTAAAATCCCGCCAAAATTTAGTGGAAGAGTTGCCAATGGTTTTGGCGCGATTAAGAACTGAACTTTGGCATACCACGCACATTTGGCCGCATCAATGTCGCGTTATATTCGCCCGTCGCTTCAACGCCGTAATCCTGTTTTTTTTTTGCGTTGTTTTGTGCTAACCAAGGACTCCGATCCCATTCCCGACGCGACGCGTAGTCTCATAACGCGTCATATCCTTGACCCCAATACTCGCTATTGTTCGTATTTATTGCCACATTATCCAACTCCATATAGAAAATACCAGCTTAAGAACTTATTTATTCTCAATTTATGGTTATTATTTATTTCTATTTTTTTTTATTTGAGGTGGCAAGCGAGCTGGTGGTTCACCTGATGTTAATTGATAACCGCCGCCCAATGGAATTTGCAACATACGTAGGGTTGCAGATGCGTTTCCACCTTTTAATACACCGTCTAAGGCATGTAGCCTTAGACGGGGCCCACTTTAACTCACCACTCGAAACGCAGAACTTTTATAGTTCTGCGTTTCGAGCTGCGAGGTCTTGGTAATCACCTGGGCGGACCTGTCCATTCGTCCAACAGAGAAGACTGTGGCCCTGCCATAGTGAGGTTCGTAGGTTCTACGGAAACCTTCATGTGATAAAGAATACGTAACACCAACGAGCAATTCAATAATAGGTCTTTTATTTTAAATTCCAAATGGGTTTATCTATTACGTATGCATCTTATTCTTACGCTGGTATGGCCACGCAGAAGGCTCGGCTGTTGCACGAATGGGCAGGCCCGCCCGGGTAAGTACCACGACCTCACAGAAAACCAGCATAAAGTGGAAGAATGACAAATACTTTCGCGTTTCGTCTGGTGAGTGAGGTAGCCGGAGCCCAATTTTCTAAAGGTTGTCAACGCATCTGTAATCCTCGGGTGTAGCAGATGTCCATGGGCGGCGGTATTCACTCACCATCAGGTGAACAGTCTGCTCGCTTGGCAACTTTTCACATAAAAAAATATTACGTATGCGGCACTATTAATTAAATAAGACAGATATACATAGTAAACCGTTATCAGATCTGCAATATAATTAGTGTAAAGAAATGGGACCATGATAGCTGTGATAGACCACTGTCCGGACGCTCGCCTTTAATTTAATATACTCCAGCTTACTGAGTTCGAACCCGGTGCCGCACCAATGAAATTGATAATTTAAGTGCCGGATTATTATAACGTGCTCGGCGGGTAAAAGAAAACATCGTGAAGAATCCTGCATATATTCTTATTAATAATAATAAAATATATTTCTAAAATATGTGAAGTCTGCCCATCCGCAGTGGGGTCGCGGTAGACTATGCCCTGATACCATCTTTACAGAGGCCCTTGCCCAGCGGTGGGACATTTATAGGCTTTATGCCAAGTTTATTTTTTTTTTATGGTATCAATGACTAGTGCAATTCCTTTCACTAGTTTTATTTCTATTTAGTGAGACGCTTTATAAGTTGAAATTTCTAAAAATATACCTACTTGGTGCATTGGAAGAAGACATTGTCATAGGTCTTGATATATTATCGTAAAATCATATTTAAAAAGATTTAATTTGGGCTACTATTTATTACAATATTTTGAAAATACAACACTAGTGTTCCGAATAATTATTTTTCAATGATGTTCGGAACGGGTATCAACGTCGAATATAAAGTACATCACGAAATTTGATTAACGAGTGAACCAGGATCCTGTAGCACGTGAACCGCTGCGCATGAGGAGGTAAAAATATCAATGAAACAACCATGGAAGTGTTGCCACCGTTTATTGGAATTTTACTAAAAAAATTGAATAAAAAATATTGTATTTCATCAACATGTTACTTTAGAAATGGGATAATATACAGTTGTAGAAAACTTCCCGCGCCGCGTCGCTCTTGCATCGTCAACAATTATTACAATTAGATAATCATTCGTATTGTACACTTATACCGTATCATAAATTATTATTGCGAGCGACATACGGTGATCGCGTAGGGAGCTGCGCTTGCGAACTGCTATTGCTTCTAGTAATATATTCTAGGTGAAAAGTTATAATCTCTAAGGAAATCGCTTACACAATTTGGCGTTACACTAACAAGAGTCTCTTAAACGCATCAAACATGTATATATCTGTTTCAGAACTCGACACAATAATACGATATAATGAAATTATATGAGACAGAGTGCAAAATAAAGCATTGTATATACATATATTGAACAACTTGCTGGTTGTATTAGGCGCACGGGATTAGCGTTTAAAAATCGCTTGTTAGTAAGCTCTTTCGAGGCGTTAACAGTTTTCACTCATTACACTAGTTAAGAATACAGTAGTCGTGCTATTATACACAGGAAGCGAATTTCACACACGATTGCATCAAATTTGGCCTACTTAATCTATCATAAGTTTTCTTTAATACTCTCTAGATCCTTGATTTCTGTTCATCGACCATCCCAGTAAATGTTCACTATGAGAATCAATCACAAACCGTGTCACATAAATTTTGTACCACATTTACACCTTATTAACAATAAGTTTACACTCATTTCTCAGTTTCGGTTAGTTCAACACGATAGGGTCACTAATAACAACTACAGCCAAAACTGTGACATTCAATTAAAACCTAATATACATATAAATTTTGCTGTCTTATGATAACGTTGATCAAGGTGTATAAATGATTATATTAGTGGTGGAAGCCTAAGAGATTTTGTTTAGAGCAGTATAAGATCAACAGCAACTCTCTACGCGTTCGCGGGCTGGGGTTGCGGCGCCGCCCGTGGGGTTGTGTCTGTTAGTCTGTCTGCATGTTCTCATGTGTCCGTTAGTGTGCTGGGTGTGTGGGGACGGCGCTCCAGTGTCTATAGGGTTCAGTCTCACTCGCTGCTCTTAAACTAATCTTCGTCTTCGCCGCTCTCGGACTCTGGAAAACGTAATAGATTTCACAGTGAATACATCATAACATCTGCTTAATTGGCCATTGCCTTTTTAAAAGGAACAAATAAATTAAACTTTTTAAAACTTTTAAAAATTAAACACCTCAAGGCAGTAGGTAAACTACGAACCAAAATAAGAACATTTCATAAGAAATTAAGTTAAAGGTTATAAATAATTAAGCTATAGATTCTGCAATTCAATTATCTATACTACAAAAAGGTTACTCTAAAAAGGTCCTTTTCTTAAGATTAGATGCTTATTTATATATATTAGCCTAACTGCACCCGGGGAATACATTTTTGCGTAATATCACTATGCTTGTTAAAAAAATTGTGTTGCAACAGAAGTGACAACAACAAGCAGGAACGGAGGCATAATTATACAAAAATAGAATTTAAGCAATAACACCTTTAAATATACTTATATTGAATACATATAGACAGTTCTATTATATGACTTATTACTTCGCAGTAAGGCTGCTACTAGACACAGCAAACTTCTTTGTGTTTAATTAATTAGACCGTAAACAACCCATTCGCCCCCTCACAATATTAAAAGTTATAAAAGTTGCGGAAACAGTACTTCTATTTCCTCAACTCTGAGCACCTTTTCAACAGTTAAAAATGTCAATCCATTCCACTCTGTTTCTTGATAGAATTAAACAAACATTAGCTTTTATATAATTGTTAATTGTCATTGCGTTATATTGTAATGTATCGCAGCTAGTGAGATGGAGACTTGCACGGGCAAGTCCTTGGGTGTGCTGAGAGTTGATATCGCACACTTCGACACCGGCTCCAGCAAGGCACTAGAGTCGGTTCTAATCGTGTGCCACAAGCGATTAGAATTGCGACAATGCTATTACTATTAGAGTAGCTACCTATTCAAAATAGGCTTATTTTAGGAGAGCTCAAAACAGAGTATTGAAAGTCAACAAGTATAATTTTCGACAAAAAAAAAAACAGACTACAAACATTGTTGATAACTAAAACACATTAAAAAAAAATAAAAATATATACGGTCGAATTGAGAAACCTCCTTTTTTGAAGTCTGTTAAAAAACCACCACAGTTTCACTAAACTAGACCTGTTCAAATTCAAAATATCTTCATTCAAACTAGAGGCTTGGGCATTTTTATGAAAGTTCATAAGTCACCACATGTTCGGAAAGCAGTTTTTGTTATTTTCAAACAACATTATATAATTCTAAACTATGCTAAAGATACTATGGATACTAGGTAACTAATAAAGATACTTTACTTTTGTAAATTCATGCATGTTATAGTTATGAACACCCAGACACATGCTTCACCAAGCGATTCTAAACAGTGCTTTATGCTCTCTATAATATACTAAGAATATAACATAATTCGAAATTGGGACAAGAATGCTTGTTTGACATCCTCAGTCCCATATTTAAGAATGTCATGTATATATGTCGACAAGGCCACATATTTCTTGAAAAATTGGCAAGAGATTGGCACCTGAAAGGATGCAGATGCATTGATAGCCTTCAATAAATGTGAGCCCTGGTTACCTCACTCATCAGTTGAAAAGCAAAGATATAATACTTCACTCCGGTCCTTCAGTGAGACCGTGGTACTTCCCCAAACGAGCCTGCCCATTCATGCAACAGCAGAAAGTGCTATGTGGCATAACAAAAGTTATGCAACTAAATAAGATTGGTAAATCATGAATAGCATAAGCTAACCGTAAATTTAAATCTGATCACTGAGACTTTGTCCCTATAAAAATAGCATCAAAATGTTATTAGTTAAAATTTTACTTTAAATAGGATTGCATTTGGATTTAAAGTCAACCTGCGACATCAACTACTCATATTGTATAGAACTGTAGCAACTTTAAAATATCATTTGTCTCACCCTCTTCAGCGCTCTGGAGCCACTCGACGAACTTCTTCATCTGATCGAGGAACATGACCTTGCCCTTGCTGGAGTTGGGCTCCCGGTACCATTTGAGGATCACCTCCTCGGAGAGCACGTTGGTCTTGTACAGCATCAGCACCAGTTTGCTGAACGCTTTCATGAAGCTCATGTTCTCATAGCAGTACTCTTGCACCTGTGCAAAGTTATAATAAAACATTAAACACAAAATTTACATTTGTATATAATAATGAATTTTAGAAAACAACTTGCAATAAATGAATGATCACATATTTTAAAACTATTTTAACTCTGTCCTGTGATCGCAAACAATGTTAAGAGATGCGATCTACTGTTTTACGGGGTTTAACCACTGTGTAGTAATGTTTGCATAGACATAACATTTGATTTTTTGCAACAGGTTTTATTTATATATTTAGAAGAATTCATTATAATGTCCGATTGCATAGGGAATAAGAACAATGCAGGCAATGTATCACGGTCAAATTTGACGGACTTACGCACAGGCGATATCCGCGGTTGGCCCGAGACTTAATTTTGCACACTTCGACACTGACCCGAGTATATAACTCAGGCCGGCTCTAATCGTGTGCCCGAGTGCGTAATTAAACCACGTTTAGGAGTAAAAAGTTACATATATTTCCAACATTACATAACTAAATTACGGTCATATCTAATAAATCTAGTTGACATGGGCATGGAGCCAAGAACGTTACATTTCCCTGTTCGCTGAACAGTTAAGCTTAACCTTTGAGCAAGAAACGAAACATTAAGATGCTTAAAAGGCCAATGACAAAGCACACCCAGATTATAGATTTACGAATATCTGTGAGGAACAGGGATTGAAATTACAATATAGACTATAAACCCCTAGTTTGTAAACCTCCGTATATTTGACCTTTACATATCACCTTTGTGTGGTCGACGGCAACCATTGAGGAGAAACACCCAGATCCAAAACAATAACCTATATTTCGCACAAATATTTATATCGTGTGGAAATCGAACCCATGACCAATGCTAATAGCTTACCAACTGCGCTATCGAAGTCAAACACGTGTAATTTAAACCTAAGTTAAGCTTTTACTGAACGTCAGAAAAACTACCACCGGTTCACTAAACTAGAACTGACCAGAGAAGAACCGGCGAGAAATACTGCGGTCGTGTTATATATTTTTTTCTTTAATTGTACAAATATACAAAATCACGGCGGGACTTATAAGTCCCTTAGCTGCTGCTATTTTAAACTGCAGAGCAAGAGCCGGTCTTCGAGTTATCTACACCATTACTTGTTCAACAGCAAGAAACGCTGCGGTCTTATTTCTTTTAATGATGCAACTACATTTTAAGTATACAATCAGCTGCATCAGCCAGGGAACTTGGGAGAGTAGGGCAAGAGTGTGGTTTCCAGTGATCTACCACATTACCTTGGTCAAGAGCGCAATCTCCGCCTTGGCGGACTGGGCGAATGCGGCCAGGAGTGGGGTGTACAGGCGGAGGTGCTTCGCCGCCTGCTCCGCCAGCAGCTCCTCCTTCTTGTTCCACTCTCCGCGCGACATCACGCACTGCCAGATCTGGGGGGCAAAAGAGGACGTGCCTCTTTTCGGTCAAGCGATTCGCGGTGGCGAGTGGTTGCGACGAGGGTCGTTAAGGATCAGATTGCCGTGTCGTCACCGTGGCGCGGCGGCGGTCGAACGGGTTCGGAGCGGCCGAAGGACTCGGCCGACACCGCAGCCGAGAGACCGCGCCGCGCAACTCCGACTCGTCATCGAGTTTCATCATGTGAATCGAGTTCTCGTAAATTTACATTGTAAGAGGTGAGACAACGAAAAATCACAATATATTGACGAAGAACAATCAAACGTAAAACGTTATGTGCAATAGTTTATTCATCAGTATACAGCCGTTTGACTGATAAAAGTAAAGTAACAGCCGATTACTGTGGTAGGGCCACGCGACTCACGGGTAAGTACCACGACCTTATAGAATACCAGCGTGAAGTGGAAGAGTCATACTTCTGCATTTCGTCTGGTGAGTGAGGTAGCTGGGCCCACTTTACTGAAAAATAGTAATGCATCAGCGACCTGTTTAAAACGAGTGTTGCAAATGTCCATGGATGGCTGTTATCACTTATCATAAGGTGAACCGCCAGCTCGCTTGCCAGTTTCTTTACAAATTCTTACTAGTCCTTACTAATATTATAAAGAGCGAAAAGTTTGTATGTATGGATGGATGTTTGTTACTCTTTCACGCAAATACTACTGAATGGATTTTAATGAAACTTTAAAAGATAGCTTATACAGCAACATATTTTATGTACCTGTATTTATATACCTGTCTTTCTGTCTGAATGTTACGCCTTAAGGCTATTCTACGCAGACGCAGTCGTGGGCAGTTTAGAATAAAAGGAGACACAACTCTCAGGGACACTCACAATTGCGACGACTTCGTGGTCCGGTATGGAGTGTTTCTGCGCCATATCGCGGAGCTCCTGTATGAGATCGCGCACCGGCTTCTCATCCGCCAGCTCGTCCAACAGCGCCTGGGTCAGTTCTCTGCGTGCTTCCTGTTACATCCAAGATTGAGGCGTCAGACCTCAGTGTGATCGGGCCAGGGCACACTTACACACACCTATGCGTGGAGCAGAGATGGTTATCGCTTAACATCAGCTGAACCACACGCTTGCTTGGCACCTCCTCACTTAAAAGGAAAAGATGGAGGCTTCCAAATTTATTGAAGGCCAAAGCAGAGGAAGGACTGGTCACAACATAAATAGAACAGCATAAAGATGTTTGTCAGGGCCAAAGTGGAGGGGAGGTGTGGTCACCTGCGCGAGGCCTTGTTACTTAAACGATTGCCAGACGGTTGTGGCAGCTGCATTGAATGCGGAGCGGAGGATGCGGTCACCTGCGAGGCCTGGGCGCGGTGCAGGCGCAGCAGCTCGGCCAGGCCGCGCGGCGCGAACGACGCGGCCAGCACCTCCTCGCTGCGCCGGTTCAGCGGCAGGAACTCCAGCAGCCTGCGGACGGACGCACGTTGATATCGCGTTGGATCCCAAGCTTCCACCAAATAAAACCAAACGCGAACTATCGCATGTTCATACTACGGCAGCCCCGACTCCAAGTTTACCAGAGACCTGTATCGATTGTACTACAATATTGTCTGTCCATTGACTTTATAACAAAAAACTAAAATAACTTAACATCCCACTGCAAATTTAAAACCATAAAGAAATACATGAACAGTTGAATCTTATTATATTACACGAATGAGCCATAAAGCAATGTCGCGCCATTTATGACGCCGGCGCAAAGTTGCGACGGGCCAGTACATGACGCGTCGCTCTACCCCAAGATGTGTAATCGCTATGCAATTTCACGCAAGCGCTCAAAAGCTTCCTGGGGCCCAGTTATGAGAAACAAATTCCAGCTTAATTCATAAAATTACATGTGGTAATTGAATATATATGTTAAGAAAGCAGATATTTATTTATTTATAGTTTTTACGCGAGTAAACATCGTCACTGGATGAAGTAACGACCTGTACAAATGTGTGGGAAGTCGATATATAGCTCAAGGTCTTACTTTGTTGGAGGCCTATATGTTCAACAGTGAATTCAAACAGGCTGAAATGATGATGATGAGACACCGTGAATGTTGTTTTACGGAATTTTTTTCACGTTGAATTTCAGACGTCTCGAACAATATTGAAATTTTATAATTTATGCGTCAACGCGTCTGCGTCTTACATGGTAAGGACGGACCACGCAGCAGTTGCTATTTTAAGGCTTTTAAAGATACTTTTTTTATTTTTACTGCTAGTCTTTGCACTTAAAATGAAAGTTCCAATTGTAAATTTTGCACGCCTTATTGAGCGCCGCTTAGCCCACTTGCTAAAGCGTTTGGGCGCGAAAGACGCACGTTCGAATTTGGCAGCGCCGAAAGCGTTTTTTTTTTCCATTTAATTAAGCCGTTTATCGTACACTAGCACCGTTCCGGTTGGTGGTTGACACTTCATTTCCATAGGTGGACACTTACATTCAAGCATATGGCTGGATAATAGAGTATTCAAAATTCAACCGGTTCGTAAACCAAAGCCACGGCGCTGAGAAGAACCGGCGAATGAAGTGTATTACACACCTGCCCTCGAGCTGGCCCCGCTTGAGGGCGGTGACGAGCGAGGCCACGCCGCGCTCCGCCTTCACGGTGGAGAACACCTCCAGCACGAACTCCAGCGCCAGGTTGTCCTTCAGCAGGTGCTCGTTCACCAGCACCAGCAGCACCGACGGCGGCACGCACCCGTTGCCTGCAAGCGCACAACATGTCAAGTGAATACCGTAGCCCATGGACATCTGCTACACCCGAGGGTTCCAGATGCGTTGACAACCTCACTCACCAGACGAAACGCGAAAGTATTATACTTCCATACATTCCACATCGATCTTCTGTGAGGCCGTGGTACTTACCCGGACGAGCCTGCCCATTCGTGCAACAGCCGAGGCTGCTGCGTGGCCCGTGTCCCTACCATCGTAGATATGTGGTAAACGCCTTGATATAGATAGATAAGTGCCAACAACTCTAAACTCGAATATTAACAGACAACATGTCACCCATTGCCGTTCCAAATGTTCATTTTATACATTTTCGAAAAACTTACAGCTAAAACAGTTGTATGATCAAATTCAACAAAATCATGACCAATTAAAAGTTTCCACGAATGGAAAATTTTCCTATAGTGTTACAAGTTCAGAAGAGAACCAGTGTTAAATAATAAACTGCTTCAAAAAATCTAATTTTCCACAGATTTAAAAAGTTTAGTTGCTTCTTTTTCTCTACAAATATGAAAAGATCTATATGTGCATTAAACTTACGGTTTTTTTTCAAAAGTCCTATGTATCTATCCTATAAGTATGTCAATATAGGAGATTTTTTTTAGGGGCTGTAATCCATTATTATTCGACGTTATGCAATTTATAATAATTTCTTGTATTTACGCGATTACACATTATAAATGAAACTAATATTTTTTTTACGGATTTATCGCGTTTATTTTTAATTTTAATTCCCGACGTTTCGAACCCTTTACAGATGTCCCGTGACCATGCACGCTGAGAAAAGATCAAATCACACCGATACAAATTTTCCAGCCATTAGTTGGCCGAATATTTTTATCCAATATTCTGCTATTCGGCCCGAAAACCCCCGAATATTTCTATATTTTGTAATTATTACGTTGTACCAGCACGACATGATATGGCGAAACAAAAAAATATATTAAGCGTCAAGGCGCATTACCCAGAAAATGGTGGGAATGGGCAGGGGCGAATAATGGCCGCTAGGTCGTAAATTTTTCACCAATTTATTAAAAGCATTAAAAGTTGTATAGTTAATACTTACCAATCCATAGAGCAGTCATCCGTGCCAATTTGATACGTTGCATAGGTTCAAAGCCTTTCAAGTAAACCAGAACCTGAAATAAATTTTTTCTATGCTAATAACTTTTCAAATCGAGAACAAATAGGAAAATATAAATTATATATTATAAGTTATCATAAAAAAATTGAATAGAGCCAAACCAAATCAAGGCTTTGGCTCTTAACATTGTTACATAAAAAAAATGTGAATATTATGCTTTATGACACATCAATACTAAACCAACAACATTTTTGACCACACAAAACATTTAGATTAGATGAAGATTCTGGCCGTTTGCTTTTAGCTAATTGATTCAGTTCTAAATCTCCATATAAAATAGTTTACAATACAGTACTAACGAAATTAGTTATGGAATATTATACAGAAGAAATTTGATCAGTTACGTGCAAAATTGCCTCTTCACTAGTGCTTTCGGGCGGATTTTGTGCTAGACTGTACCAAAATTTCTGTACAGAGAGAGTATTCATGTATTTGTGACCATAGTCCATGACCATATTTAATTGGGACAACTTTGCTAGGAAAGAATTACTGTTACTACTAGACTACAAACACCATGAAAACAACTCACCTTTTTCATTTCTTCCTCAAACATCTTTTCCAAATACTTGTACCGACGCATAAGCTTGACAAACACCTGCACAGCAAAATTGTAATTTTTAGCCACAGTCATGGGAGAAAAGTAAAGTGAACGCTGTATTGGGTTCATCAGAGATATACGAACGAGAAATAGTGTCCTCCACACGAGGCTTCAGGACTCTAGCCATGTATTTCATCATTTAAAAAAAGATAACTACGTTAACTGTAGTACTATAATCACTGGTAGTCTTGTATCTTGTATTAACTGATGTTTTTGCTTTCAGTCCCGAGACTATTAAAGCTTCATCTGACGCAGAACCGGTGGGCTAGCCAGAACCCACGGGTTTGGGCCCTCCGCTGTGGGTAGGGCCGCGCATGTGCTCATGCGTGCGTTTAACTACAACATGTCATCTAAGGGCCATCGAAGTTGCGGTGCGGACCGAGACCCCGATGGCCGTCGACTGTGTTTTTAGCTAATCGGTGGCTGCGGGCGGTGAGAACCGCCCCGGAACGCGGGGTACCGCGGTGTACCTTGTGTACCATTGTGTGTTGGTCTCGCCGTGCTCGGAGGCGAGGGCGAACTATTGTGTTTGTTGGTACACTAGCTGTGGGTGTAGTGTTATCCGGCGGGACCCCCGGCGGTGGGTCCGGCGTATCTAAGTCCCCTTCCTCGACCGGGTCGATGAGGACGTTTCGCGGGCGACGCTTGTTGACGTATAGTAAATAATAATAAATGAAACAATGCCGCCTCTGAGGCGAGAAGTGTGTGTAGGATTCTACTTACAAAACAGGAACCTGCCTACGAGCACAACACTACACTAATACTAATCTACTGCACTATTTGCACAAGATTTAAATTGCAACCGAGGTTGCGAGTGGCGTCTAATTCGGGTGGCATGTGCCCTCCGTCTTAGAGAGACGTCCGTTCCGTACGAGAGCACGAAGCGGAATCTCACTGGTAGTGCCACGCAGCACTGCTTCTACTGTTGCAGGTATGGGCATGCTTGTCTAGGGGAGTACCACTGCCTCGCTGAAGACCGACGTAAAGTATTTTGATTTCACGTTTCGTCTGGCGAGTGAGGTAACCGGGGCGCACTTTTTAAAAACCCTGAGGTGTGATACTTATCACTTAACGTCTGGTGATTAGCCAACTCGCTTGACAACTTTTCAAGAAAAACAAATAATAAAGTATAGAATACAAATCCATTTGCAATTTATTTTAGTACAAATTATGTTTATTCAAACTACTTTTGAAGGTGCAGTACTTATTTTTTTATCGAGTTCGGTGTTGCAAATTAAAGATGGATCTATTTGTAGCTGACAAAGTATACATAAATTTTGTTTTTGAGCCCGAAGTACAGTACATTAGTATATATGAAAGCACGCTTACCTGTTCGAAGTTGCGCATGGTCTCCATATCCTCGCTGGCGGCGAAGATGCACGTGTTGGTCTTCGGGCTCTCCCCGTCCATCGACACCGACCCACCGGGGACTGGAACGCGAGGACAATTACAATCTAATCGGTATGAGATCACCCAAGTGGGTGAGTACTCAGCAGATCAGATGAGAATGAACGAACGAGGTTTTTCCACACGTGGAGTTCAGGACTCTAGCCAGTTATATCATCATATGCTTTATATTTCATTCCTTCAAACTGTTGTGTATACAGCATATTTATCTCTTGGATACATTGATATTAAGAAAAATCCGTTCGTATAAGTGTTTAATACTGTGTCTGCATTTTCATTAACGGTGTCAAGATAATTATATCTTAAGGATCTTTTGTTGCTATTTTGGTAACATTAATTGTCCGACTCACAGATAATTGATTCGGATATGGGTGTTGGTCCGCGTTTTACGCATGTGAAACTTCCGTGTTATCCTAAAGTAAGAAGCAATGTTATGAAAGCCTATGCTTAACACGCATAGTGTTCGCTGTTTCACGAATGGGCGAGACCGCCGTAAATTGGAAGTGTCACACTTCTGCGTTTCGTCTGGCGAGTGAGGTATCCAAGGGCCACTTTATTGAAAGGTGGCAACGGGTGTTACAAACGTCCATGGGCGGCGGTTATCACTTAACATCGGGGTGAACGGCCAGCACTTTCGCCACTTTTTCACATAGAAAAGGTACATAGAGTGTAGTAGTGTGTGTGTGTGTGTGTGTGATAGTAGCGAGTACTCACGCAGCAGGCCGCCCGCGATGAGCACGTCGAAGATGACCTCCCCATAGCGGCGGTAGTCGAGCTTGGAGCCGGCCGCGTCTAGGAACTTGTAGGCGGCGTCCAGGTCGCCGCCGGCGCGCTCCAGACCCTGCACCAGCGCGTCGCGGAACCCGTTGGGGTCGTACTTCTCTTTCTCATCTGCAACGGCACGGGGCGAGCTTTGAAACTACGTCGTTTATCAGCAGATTTTAAAAATTATCGTTACGTGGGCGTTGGTCAGGTTTAGCTCCCGTGTGGTCCCCCCATATTCACTTCATCGATATTGGAAATTGGACTCTGGATATCTGGGAAGTTCTTAGAATCCAATAAATGAAAGGAGGCAAACATGCAATCTGGTCACGTGAGGAGTCTAGCAGATACCTCAGCTCGAATTTAAAATTGGTCCCTGTTATTATTCACCATGTATTTTATTAACACACTATGTATTTATTATGAAGTTATTTCATTCGACCTCAAACCAATTGTCATCTATTGGAACAAGATGAAGGGGCCACAAATCATTTTATCAACATGTCAGGGAAATATACAGGCCATTTTAATATGTCTTCTCTAACCCTAGATCTAAATAAAGATTAAAGATTATTAAAAACCACAAGAAATCTTCTACTGTCGTAGATTGTATACGATTAAAAAATGTCAACTACGATATCACTAAATCCGCAGACTTTCAAATAATTACAATAAAAAACATATTAACATTTCACTGTTTTAATATTTCCTATCCAACAATCTGTGCACTCTCGGAAAGGGTATAAAACATGAGACATTTATGTGGTTTATTTAAATAGGGACACTGACGTAGAACGACCTACGCTAGAAACGCCGTTGGAGTTACGTCAACTGTAGGGTGGCAAGGACTACGCATCTATGAGGATATCAGGACTTTCTGTAAAATAAGGTTAACTTATAGTTGTTGAATAAACTTCTGGCTACCCCAAAATATTAATAACTATTTACCATAAATGTTAAGAACCTTAAAGATGCATTTGCGTAATAAAAACAGATAAAGCATTAATATACACCTCAATTCTAGTCTTATGAATAGGTTAAAGCGAATCTTTTTAGGTTTATTCAATGACTAAATTTGCTAAAGACAAAAATGACTGAATTATTAAGTTGTGGTGATTATTATAAATAATATCCTCAGCAATTATCTCGCAAAAGATGGCCGCCCTAATAGAACTTACCAGATATGACTTGGAAAGTGTTACGTCATGCAGCAGCCTTTGATTACTAGTTTATATACCTTAGGAGCCCTTCTTAAGAGCAACCTACTGGCCTTTTAAATGTTAGTTTGACCTTGTCTTCAATTCCTATAAAATGTAAGTTTACCACCGCTTTTACAGTTATTAATCCATAACCATACAAGAATATTACATACAGCATCACGCCTGACCAATTTATTATGCACCAAAAGCAACTGTAGATAAGCATATACGCCAATTACATTTAATATAAAAATATGTCTCAATAATAATCGGTCAAACAGATTTTTTGGAAAATTTGAAAGCTTGTATATTTTGAAATCATTTGCCAAGCAACTTTATGTCAATGGATTTGTTAAGTTGTTGAAGCACAGCATAGTTAAAATATCTGAATACAACCTGCACTATTTATTACGGTGATAAAAATTTTAGTTTAGTTTAATTATGTTTTATGTGTTTTATCTTATTTTTTGGAGCTGGTCAGGTGGTTAGCGATGTGAATGAGTAAATTATCGGCGAGTTATTTATTTAGAAAAAGATAATGTGTTTTATCTGATTTTTTGTAGCTGGTCAGGTGATTAGCGATGTGAATGAATAAATTATCGGCGAGTTATTTATTTAGAAAAAAGGCACACAAAAACGGAACAATGGTTACAGAGGTTGGTATCGTTTAAATATGTTATTTCCTTTACAAAATAAGCACACTGAAGCAGATCTAAAGAGTTCATGAATCTCTCTAAAACTGGATGTTATTTATAAAAATTATAACTTTCTTGTAAGATGTAAGGTACATACTCGATATTAGTACGAAACAATAAACTTTATAAATATATATATCTATATTTTTATTTATAAACCCAACCAGACGAGAAAACAAATGAATATTCCCCCAATAATAATAATAATGATGATGATAATATTTTTTATTTTTTTCTTTCTTTCGCCGGTTTCTCTCGCTTTCACTCTTAACCCTCGGTCGTTTGCTCACCCCTTCAGAGGGCTTCTATCCAGTTGGGTTCTATTTATGTATTAGCTTTTCGCCCGCGGCTTCGCACGCGTTGAGGCCCTTAAATATCTTTCTTTAAAAAATTTTCCAATTAAAAAATAGCCTAATAATAGCTAATTTAAGCCCTAGCTAATTTAAATCTGTTCAGTAGTTTTGGCGTGAAAGCGAGACAGACAGAGTGTTACTTTCGCATTTATAATATTATAGTATGGATTATATACAATATTTATATCTATGTTTATTTATCATTTATAAACCCAACCAGACGAGAAAACGAATATCCCCAATAATGATAATATAATTTATTTAGTTCGAAATATAAATATCACTACATAGTATAAAACAAAGTTGTCCCGCTGACTGTCTGTCCCTATATAAGCTTAGATCTCAAAAACTACGCAACGGTTCTTCATATGTTTTTTTTTTAACTCGATAGAGTGATTCAAGAGTAAGGCTTATAAGTCCACCATCAATACTTTGCACCCGTTCGAAGCAGGGACCGGTGGTTTGTATAAATATAAAATAATTTAATTTAGGAACTGAAATAGCCTCTACTCAGCACAAATATTATAGAAACCTGTGGTAGTTAGAAATATTTATATTTTTTATACTGCATTTACGACAAATTTCAATCTAACCCCACGTAAAAGAACAGGATAGCATCAAGATCCGCAAAAGGAAAAACATAGGTATTTACTTCCTTAACCAAGTAACTGTCAAGTCGAGGCGAACTATAAAAAATACATTACAGAAGAATCTAGAATGTTTCGCGTAGTATTTCACACGGACTTATCGCCTATAATAATTATGTCACCAAAATACTAGAATTCTTAAAAGCCTATTACTTCGTACAATCTAAACAAATCCAATTTATTCTTTACGTAATTCAAATGGTTTTCACGCGTCAGTAATACTTTCAATGTTTTATGAATATTTTCTTAAATGTTATGTTAAGTTTATAAAATTTTGCGTGACAAATAACTGTGGAGTCGTCAGTGGGTAATAAGAAACTTGTGTACGAATTGAGTAATCAAGAAGTATCAAAATGAAAACACCAATATAATGTAAAATATATATATATATATATATATATTTTTAAGACACATTTTTACACAACGTTCTCTAGTCCTAAACTAAGCAACGCTTGTACTATGGGTACTAGATAATTGATAAACATACTTAAACGTACTTTTCTTTTGTAAATAAATACAATTTTTCATATGAATAAACACTCAGATACAGGAAAAACACTATGTTCATCACACAATATTTTTCCAGTAGTGGGGATCGAACCTACACCCTCTGGCGCCACTTGGGCCATCAAAAAGGCAACTATCTTCTAGTTAGAATAGTGACGGCGCATTCTTGCGAGAATAAGCTATATTTTTTTAAGATTTTTGTTATTAATTAGCCATCTATCATCTAAAGGATGCAACATGTCAATAATCTTCCATAAATACTTTTGCTGCCTACCTGCGATTTTTATATTTTATTTTCTCTGTTTAACGTCTTTCACTATATTATAATGTTCTATTCTGTTCCATTAATTATTTGCTACAATATACAGTTTCTAAACAGTCACAAATTCTAAATTATTTCAAAATACTACAAAATGCATCTCATTAATTCTCTAAAGAATTAACAATTAGTATACCATAGAAAAAGACTTGAATTTCAGCTGTTTTTAACTTCTTAATATTTATAACAAAGGTGCAAATAATGAGTATTAATCAAAAAATCTTTAAAAAATTGAATTTAAACAAAACTTTAAGAGATATCAATCAGCACATTATACACTATTTTAATAAAACAAACTTCCCTGGCATGAGAAAAAAAAATAGAGCTTGAAGGTAATTTTTTGCACGAATGCGCCATTGTGCCTAATTGAAATAAATATGGCGGCATCGAATTTCAAATTTTGGCGCCAACGGTTACAGCGGCCAAGTCGCCGGCGCACGCGAGGCGCTAAAAGGGCGATAAAATGGCGTCACGGCGACATTGGAAGCGACGAGGAGACTTCCTATTTCATCAATCGCAAACGAAAACGCACCTAGCGTATAACATCATTAAGTCTATAATTCGTTCCGCTAGCGCCAGTTACAGCGTAAGATATTAGCTGATTTAATTTAACGCACTACGTCTCAAACAATTACGTACAACTCGCTTCGGGATCGTAGAATTAAACACAGATGGGCAAAAATAGATACAAAGTACATAGGGGTTTTTGTTTATACATGTAGTATACATCTATCATACGCATGCTGTATAACGTCTGTAACAAGAATCGAATTAGCAATATGAGTAAACATTGCACAACTTTTTAATATGTATCTGAGCGCAATGCTATTGCCGAGAAGGAAATAGAAAATCTAGAAAACAGTTGCTTTTTTTGCAAACTGTTTAAGATATTATGCAATTACGTGTCGTTTCAAATATTCTGAAGAGGCATTTTATATTATATTGGTTTGGATATTTCATCCACGTTCTTTTAGTGCAATCTTGTCTGTGTAATCTGGCAATATACACAGTATAAGTATAAAATAGTGAGAAAAATTGCATGTCATGAAAAAAGTTTAAAATTTTTTGTCTATGTAATAAAATAACCGATAGAGGCAGACTATGCTGTTGTTGAATTCATTATACGTTTATAAACAGCATAAAAATAAAATACAGGAATGAGTAAAATGATCGATCCAACGTAGTCTACTGCGGAGACAACGTATTCATTATAAATTGCAAATAATTCGTATTCAATCTTAATATAAGAGACGTATCCCGACAGAAAGGACTCTATTCGCGCCGCTGCCGGAATGCATAAACAATGACCCCAGGGGGCGGCGACGGGATTTTACGGGACGCGTGGATCAAAGCGAAATAAGAGGGCAGAGTCGAATCCAAAATATATTCGTGTACAAAGCGGAATAAATTAAATTTTTATACATCAAGGGAAACTAGTGTTGTAATATGCACTAGTGACAAAAGATTACATTAAGACAAGATAAATAAAATCAGTTTGTGGGATAAATGGAAATGGGGTCCCTAGGACAATAGTGAAACAATAATAAAACCGCAAATATTTGTATCAGTCGAGACTAAAGCTATGAGTGGCAGATCAAACATGCGTTTCATGTTGACACTAAGACACTAACTTGATGTATACATAGAGACATAATGGCTTTAAATGTATGACATATTTATGCAACAATGCCGAATGCAAATATCAGTATGTTTATGTAATTCCCGATTTTCCAGATTAAAGGTAAAAACCAGATAAAAAATAAAAATTTTCACAAGAGTAGAAGAAACATGATTTTAATAAGAAAATCAAATAATTCCCATTTGTGTTTACATATAAAAAAATACTGATTGTCCACAATTATAGAAGAATAATAACGATAGCAAAAAACGTAACTTGTTTACTACCTTCAAAAGGCATCAAATTCTTCAGTTCTATCAGTTTCATTAGGATCTTTATGACATATAATGAAAGAAATCATAGATACCATCTTATATTAAACATATCTCTCACAAAAGGTTTAGCATCTTTCCAAGTGATAGCAAAATGTTATTTATACTTGAGTTACATGAATTATATCTTAACATTTTCCAACACTTATTGTATAAAAACATAATATATAACTTCAATAGCCATGAATAATGTGCATTAAAAAAATTGACAACAAAGGATGCAATTTGCGCAATGAGTAAGCAACTCAAAGACAAGCTCATGGCCAATGACTCGATAACTGTAAATGGCTGACCTTTGGTGAGGCCAGTTAGTATATACTATAACTCAATATAAAAGAGAAATTAACAGTATTCTCTAATGGAAAGACTGGAAACAAAGAATTTGAAGAAACATTTCCATGTAAACTACCTAGTTTACAACTATGGTTAGGCTACTACAACTATAATATCCTTACTAATATTATAAAGGCAAAAGTTTGTATGAATGGATTGGTGTTTGTTACTCTTTCACGCAAATAGTACTGAATGGATTTTAGTGAAACTTTATAATAATATAGCTTATAAATCAGAATAAAACATTGTACAGTAAAATTAACAGCCTACACATGTTCCACTGTTGGGCAAAGGCCACCAGAAGGTATCAGGGCATAGTCCACCATGCAGCCCCACTGCAGATTGGCGGACTTCGCATTTCTTCGAAATATTTTTTTTATTTCGAAAACATACAGGTTTCCTCACGATATTTTCCTTCACCGCTGAACATGTGATAACTCAGCACTTGAAATTAACAATTTCATTGGTGCAGGCACTGGGGATCGAACTCTGGTTGCTCGAGTATATTGAATTAAAGGAGAGTGCCTGGACACCCTTCACACCTATCACGGCTGTAATTTATAGTCCCGCCACATACAATAATAAACCATGTTTGAAAACACTAACCTAGTGTAAAATCTTGATTTAGACGAGTATTTGAGCCTTATTAATGTAAAATTTTATTTTCTCAATATTTTATAAAGATATATACACCAAATTACCTTAAAATTCAACTATGAGTTCTAATAAACTTATAGTACAAAATTATCAAGTCTAGATTTTATTTTACATACTCGAGATTAATATACAAACAAGTTTCACGAAGTTAAAACAATAACAAGGTATTATATAGGTTTGATTGTTGTTTAAATTGAAGTTGTTTATTATACCTTTTATGGTCAGTCTAGCTTTCTAAACTATTTCACCCATGTGTTTGTGTTATATATTATAAAGACAATACTTACTAATACAATTTAAAACAATAGGTTATCATGGAGTTATCAATATGAAGTCATAAAAACTGATCAAGAAATAATGAAAATGCATCTACAAACAAATTATTATAATAACTACGTGCGGATCAAATATGTATTATTTTAGATTAAGAGAATAACCTTCTGTACAACTGTAACCTTCTGTTAGCTCGAAATATGAATTATCAATAAAAGATTTAAGCAAATTTAGAACATTTAATGGCAAAACTAACCTCTTTTTCTGGTCTTGATCCGTTGACCCGATAATACTGGTTTTTCTACCTTCTGACTCATACAATATATTGCTGAAATCAAATACACGTGGCATTAGGAAATGTACACATAGGGGGAAAGGTAGGCCGTGGAACCGTTAGACGTCACAATAGGGTCATCGCCCGCCTGCGCCCCCAACGCGACAGGCCTTAGGCGGTCAACATCTGTCCAATGAATCCCCTAAGACACATGGCGACCGCCACTTGGATAAATGCATTGTATTCTATTAAGATACATCGAGAACATCCAGTAATTTTACCTCAAACAAACTTTTTGTTGTATGACTCAGCAAGGACTAATAAATCGCGTGATTTTTATAGAATACAGAATACAGTGTACGACTGCTTAAATTCTAGTGTGCACTAATACTCACGTAGTGACAGGTTACGTAGGAGCCTTTTACTCCTTTTGCGAGTTCTCTCGGACTGCGCCTGTTCAGAAAAGAAAGAAACGCTGCAACGATCTCTATTCCCTCGAGGGCTAGAGACAACGTGTATGGAGTCGCCGGATATCCGGTAGTCGGGGTCACGTATATTGATTTAAATATTTGTTGTTGTGAAAAGGTTTGATTCAAGTATTTTAACTATTGAAATGAGCCCAAAAGTATTTTTGGACAAAGAAATATATGCGCTATTTAATATATAATCGCCGTTAGTTAGTGGGCATGGAATGAATACAAAAATAGATATCTCGCTTCGCTTTTCTTCACAAATAATTACTCTGCCTATTACAAGTCAAAAATTTACTAAAATTTAATCACAATATTTAAAAAAAATAACACAATAATTTGTTGATTTTTGTATCACTTTATTAAAAAATCACTGTTTGAAAGGAAAACATATGACTAAAAATGGCAGAAAAACAAAACACCATAGACATTTTTACTTTTTAATAACGTCTTGTGTCCTAAGAAAATAATTGTTGAGCCATTCCTAACGGATCAATAACAATAATTTATATAAAGCACTAATTTTTATAAGTGACGGTTGGAGAAATAAGTTCCTTCCTTTATTTTAAAAGTGTTTTGGAAGAAATATCATTTATTTTTTTTATCAACACGATTTAAACATTTTTAATATTATCTGTCATTGCTGTCAATATTTTTGACAGACAGTATGTGTGTATGTGTTGTGTTAAAATTTATTGGTTTGGTATATTTTTCTTTATCAGGAGTACGAAAAAGCATTTAGACTTTAAAGTTTCCTTTTTATGATGAGCAAGAAAACGTAAACGAAATAATATTAGACCCAACTTGTATGTTAAGATAATTATAGGATATGGCTAATTTAATTATGTATAAGGTTAGTTAAGGCGAAATTGGTTATCATAAGTTTATTATGTGAAATAGATGTTAAATGTATTTTTACATCCTCAGTTGAGTCCATTGCGTTTAGCTTCGGCATCGTTTCTTCAAGCATATCGCACAACAACGTCTAAACACTTTAATCCCAAGTTCAAAAAGGAAAGGGCTGCCAAATACTTAAAAGTTGACTTACCAAATCCAAATGAAAGCTATCAGGACATGGCCCCGGAAAAAATGAGACAAAAAATGAAGGAAAGAGGGATCCTGCCACCAAGGCCTTGGATGGAACGCCCTATTTACATTTCAGCTACCGGTAAGTAACAAGTAAGATTTAATTTTATTTAAAAATTCCTCAACATCATACAAAAAAGGCACTTCAGTATATCTGCAAGGAAATGCACAAAGTACTGCTAGTTTAAAGATAATATTCAATGCTCAATTTTCTATAGAGTATAACAGTTGGCTCAACAGCTTTCTGTTTAGATGGATAAAGCTTAAATCTCTATATCTACAGCTACTCTAGAAATACTGGATCTTTGATTTGATTCGATCTAAATACTACAAAATCTTAAGCAAGTGTTTATAAGGACTACAAATAATTGTTTGCAAAGAGGTTTTGTATGTAATTTGGATTCAATATAAAAATGTAATATGCTAAAATAGTAACTAAGTGAAAGTAATATTTTATTAAAAATAACAATTTAAGTGTTAAAACTTTAGATGCTTAATATTACATAACTAATTTTTATGTTTTTAAATTTGCTGTATAGATTGTAAAGTTAAATAGTGTATAATGAATAAACTAATTTCAATGTCATGTGATTTGTTTGATATGGCCTAATAAGTGGTTTTTGTAATAAGTTGTGTTTAACATTGGTCCCATAAATATGCAATTTGAATTTTGGTCAACTATTAAGTTGGCGAAAGAACTTTATAAATTGCATATTAATATAGACAAATAATGTATTTATAAACACGGAAGATTTATAATGACTACCTTTTTCTTGAAATTTCGTAATGGGCTTCATAATGTATTTTTATTTCAAAGGAACTGTGAATGTTGCTGAAAAGAAAAATAGCATATCATGTCCCTCTCTGGCTGGTAAACTTTTTCTATGCATAAAGTCACCTTATTCCATTTCACTATTACATTGTTTTATTCTTTTTCCACACCACTGCTGTGTGAAAAAGTATAAAATAGCCCAGTAGTGAATGTTATTGTTGTTGAGTAGATAATTCAAAGTCAAAATATCTTTATTCAATATATTATTTATGTTAAACCTTCTTAAAATACAGGATATTATTAAAGGGGTAAAAAGAATTGTGTAATGACTAAAGGTAAAGCGCCCCATAGGCTCACAACACTATGAGGCATACTTCCATCACCAGATGTGATGCTGTACAAACTTTACTGTGGTCTTCTGTGAGGTTGTTGTCGCCGTTCCGCTCAGACACAGAACTCCAGTGAAGCGTTTGAATGAATGTACGCAGGTGGAGTCTTCGAGCCTTACGTGCCACCAGAGGGCGACGGCAAAGCTTCCCTAGTGTCCACCACCCGCGCCAAGCAGACCGTTCAGCTGCTGGAGAAGAAGTCCAAATCGATGATGGCGGTGCGCAAGATCAAATCTTTCGAGGAGGACTTCAGCACGGGCGAATTCTGCACGAAAGCGCAGGACATCTACATAAAGGCGCACGAAGCGCTCGCGGTCGACGACAAGAGCGCCCTCCGTCTGCACGTCACGGAGAAGGCGTACCCCGAGTTCAGGCACAACTCCCGATTGAAGACGATCAGGTGGAAGTTCATCGAGTCGCTGGAGCCGCCGCGCGTGGTGCACGCCCGGTGCACCGACATCGTCAGCAAGGAGAACATCTTCGGTCAGGTGGGCTGACTACTTGTCTCACCACTCCGAAAGGTTGCTGCTGAAATAACATGTTATGTATCATATCAAAAATTCGACGAGCCGTTTGGCTAAGTGGGTAGTGAACCTGCGTGAGGAACAAATTGTTTTTTTATTGTCTAGGATGTCAATGTTCATCACGCAATATTTCGGTGTCTGGTTTATTTATTTATAAAAAAAATATGTTTCAAATCAATTGGATTTGTGAAATTTTGTATTAACCTGTTTGTCAAGTAGGAAATAAGTTGCGTTTTCGTCTGGTGAGTGAGGTAACCGGGGCCAACTATATCAAAAGGTGGCGACGCACCCGCAACCGTACGGGTGTTGCAAATGTCCATTGGCGGCAGTTATACTTAACATCAGGTGAATCACCAGGCCGCCATAGCGATCACGTCAGTTTTCAAACAAAAACAACGCATCACAATCGGCCCATTCGCTTAGAAGTCAACCCTGCTTTGCCCTTGACCTTCGACCCTCGCGCCAGGTGACGGTGCGGTTCCACAGCCGCCAGCAGCTGGCGGTGTACGACCGCTTCGGGAGGCTGCTCCACGGCAGCGAGATCCTCGCCAAGGACGTGCTGGAGTACATAGTGTTCGAGAAGCACCTGGCCAACATGTACGGCACGTGGCGGATCCACGCTAAGATCATCCCCGACTGGGCGCCCCCCAAGGACCCCTCGATGCTCACCAGGGTGTTGCCGGAACCGGAACTGGAGGCGCTGCCCCCGCCGCAAGCCGAGGCAGCTGCCCCGGCGATAGCCGATAAATAGATTAGCCTAATAAATATAGTTTGTTTACCTTGCTTTGTTTTTTATTTCGTTATTCTTGGTAAAAGAAAATTCTGATGGAGGCGGGTGACTTTTTGTCGAAGTTAAGCGGCGGTTATCGCCTAATATGTGAACCACCAGGTACCACTCCCAGGTAGTTTGACTTTTTACATAAAAAAAGTTGCCCTGCCAAGAGTAATTTAATTATTGTCAAGGTAATATTTGTTACATATCAAATATTCAATGAATAGATTCAATTGACCGTCAACGGGCCGATTTTATAAGTGTGATATTGCTAGACTGACGCCCGGTTTCTGAAACACTGATCATCGTAGAAGTCAACTAATCAGCTGTAAAATGGCTTTTCAAATGTTTTTTGAGTTGCCATAAGGATTTTATTTCATAATTTCAATAGAGAAGAGGGTTGGGTGCTACCATCAGCTTGGGATCCTGTCATAAACAATCAATAAATTAAATCTAAGCTCAAACGAACCACTACTGCAAGACAAGATACAATTAGCTCTCTCTGCATAACATAATTACACAAAATTAATACTTACATACACAAAATTAATAATTGAAAAACTGACGGTATTAACCCCGGGTTAACTATGACAATCTGACGTCCAACGCCTCAGTCTGTCCCGTGACCATGAACGCTGTAAAGGGTTCGAAACGTCTGGAATTAAAATTATAAATAAAAGCGATAAATCCGTAAAATTAGTTTCATTTGCCATAACTCTGATTTGATCATTCTGATCATTACGAAGATCATTCTGATCAATTCAGAGAGTTTAACAATCACTTTGGCAACTCAAATAACGTTTGACAGCTGATTAGAGCCGTGATAGCTCAGTGTCCGGGCGCTCGCCTTTAATTCAATATACTCGAGCAAGTTGAGTTCGATCCCCGGTGCCGGCACCAATGAAGTTTTTAACTTTAAGCGCTGACTTATCACGTGCTCCGCGGTGAAGGAAAACATCGTGAGGAAACCTGCATATTTTCGAAGATATGTGAAGTCCGCCAAACCGCAGTGGGGCCGCGTGGTGGACTATGCCCTGATACCCTCTGTATAGAGGAGGCCTTTGCCCAGCAGTGGGAGATGTATAGGCTGTTACTTTACTTTTAGTTGACTTCTACGATGACCAGTGTTTAAGAAACCGGGCGTGATTTAAAGATTCCGTAAATTATATATATAGGTTCGTAAGGTACCAATTTGTATTTGTTTATCATTATCATTACCATTTTGGGAGGCCACCAAGCTCTCAGGCTCCACGGAGTGACCAGGCTCAAAGGAACCCGAGATGGAACTTCGGCTTGGGCCGTCACTCAATACGCATTTAGCATTCCGATTCGAGAGACCTCGGCTCGATCGGTAGCTATTCTCTGACTGTACCGTTGACTATCATACCATTTCTACTTTGGTAAAAGAACATAATACAAGTGACTCTTTGTTTATATCTTTTCATTTATTGAATTGGAACGAACTATCAAATAAAACAAAACTTAATAATAACTCTATTTAATTGCAATATTAGCGGCTCACCGAGCTTAAACTCTCTATTCTTTCCTATATATTAGTTATAATAAATTAAATTAGGATAGTAACAAATAACATCTGTTAAATTTTATTCACGAATTTAAATGCTTGAAGTGTGGATTATATCGTAAGTCATACAATATTTGCATTATGATAATATTTATGTTTTGAAACATGAGATTTTATAATTCAATTAGTTTATAAAACTGAGACAATAAAAAACTTTACGTCTATAAAGGCACGATACATAATCTTTTAGTCACTTACAACTATCCTATTTACAACATAAAAAGAATACCCTTTGTAACACAAGTTGAAGCAGTTCTTCGACATTTACACTTAAATTACTTTAACACAGATCTTCCATATTACAAATAAAGTACACGCGAATTATTATCTAATTGGAAATCAATAAACTTGACTATGCAGACATGAACTATTACAAATAACATTTGTTAACATCATCAATTATCTTAACTACATTTTGTAGATTTATATAGGTATGAAAATATATTACAACTATATTGTTGTTCAAAAAAATACTACTGTAAACATTATTTCCGCATTAAAATTCTATAAACAACAAATCTTTGAAAATATCTATATACCCTATTACGGTATACAAAATCCTCTAAAAAGATGAGATTTTAATTCATTCATTCTTCATAAGCATTTTTCAATTCAAATAACAAGGATGAACGCCATTAGTAGCAGGTTTGCTTCCTATTAATCCTTATTTGGAAAACGATTATTGGTCATTCGAACCCGCGACGGCCACAAAAGCTAATATACTTTAGCAATGAGCCATCAAAGAAAAACGCCTCTATTAAAACGACTATTTTATTTCAGTGAATTTTTTAAAGCAATATATATCTACTGGCAAGTGCCTTGATGTGATAAACTGAGCATTGAAAAAAATATTTAAAAAAATCCGCAACAATAATGATATTACAAATTATTGCATTAGTAAATGACAAAGTCAAAAACTCTTAAGGTGCTCTAAGAATTTTTGCTATTATTAAATACTATGTTATTACTTTTAGATCAGCAAAAATTTGAAAGAGAACAGAGTTTTTACCACACAATAAATTTTCAAATATTTGTATGCTATTTGGAGTTTATTTATTCGTTTCTATGGCACAATAGACATCGCCATTCCTTACTATTTTCTGAAGTTTTACGTAACAATGCAACAGTAACGATTTCGAAGCTAAGACAACACGATGGAATGATCTCAAGATTAGAAATAATGATCTCTACTGACAATGTTATATGAAGACAAATCATTTTATATTTTTATATAAAAAAACATACCTTATTATAGTACAAGAGCGATTTCCTCATTTGTTCCTTAACCTTAGTGTACGGTTTTAAATTTTACTTATAAATAGGCAGCGTGCTTAAGCATGATTGCTTCATGCATAATTTTAATTTTATCAACATTACTGAGATACATAACGAGATATACTGTTATGTTGCTGCTACGAATTTAGCCTTAATTCGTGTTATAAGGTCCTGTCGTAAACAGTTCACGGCGGTTTTCTTGCGATGCACTTTAATTTGAACTTTAACTCACTACGATAAGGACTTTTCGCAACAATTTTCGTAAATTCTCGAACGTGGCCTGCGATATTAGCGTTAAAACGTCACGTCCTTTATCGTGTTCATTTCGCGGGGTTTTCTCTCGAGACTGCTGGAATGCTCCATGCGAAATTCGACCGTCCGCGAAGGCGGCAAGGTTGCTTTTGCGCTGCGTCTGTTGAGGCATTTCTTCTGAGTGTTGGTGGAGGGCGTCATGCGAAACCGGAGCCTCCGCCGGGGCGGCAAGGTTGCTTTTGCATTGGTCTCCGGCCCGCTCAGACCACGGTGGGGGCGGGGCGGGGCGCGGGCTTCGGCGGCAGCGGGGGAGGGGTCCTCGGGCTCTGGCGCTGGCGCTGCTTCTCGCGCAGGTTCTCCAGGAACTCTGGAACGGGATGGACCATTTTCGTTCTATTAGGGTTATCAATCAACCTTACTAAAAAACTAGCTTGTTTCTTTCGTTTTCATTGGAACTGCAGAACAGACAGTGTCAAGTCAATCCATTGGCTAGTTTTTGTGTTTTATGAACACAAACAGACGGGAGCTAAATCTTTATATAGTATATATAGTATTGTTCTATATTTCGAGAAAATACTGAATACTATACTACATACAAAATTACAGTTCAGTTGGTTGTATTTCAAACTGTGTTTTACAAATATTTTGGTCTTATATATAAATTGCAAATGCAAATAATATTGGTCGTTAGACAGAGAATTTTTTCGAATTGTTACGTGGAAGAGTCCTTAACGATTTTATTAATTAAAATGACTTAAAAAGCAGTAAGAGCAGGGCCAGGAGCGAAGCTCATTCGGGGCAAGGGGTAGCGCAGGCGTCTGCTCACCGGGCGGGTGGTGGTGCAGGGGCGGGCCGGGCCGGAGCGCGGCGCGCACGCGGCCGGCCTCCGCCCCCGCAGCCGCAGCGCCCCCCACGCCCCCCGCGCCACCGGAGCCCCCAACGCCCCCCGAACCGCCGACGCCCCCCGAACCGCCGCCCCCCGCGCCGTTCAGGCTCGGGGCATTGCTGCTGCACTCGCTTCGGCCCCGGCTCGATATGCTCTGTAAAAATTATGTGGCTTAGATTTGCGATAGGGTCTTACAGTACATCATTTAGAATTGTATTATGATTGATACACAATAATTTTATATAAAACTTGTTTAGTTCATGCTATAATGTTCTGCGTAAAAGTTAAGTTTATCAACGTTTGGATTTTTACAATACTTTGTTGCGTCGTGTGAAATTAAAACCATAACGTTATCACACAAACTAGAGGTGATGATGTAAGGGTTACGAGTCAAGATAGCGTCAATGGTGTTGAGAGTGCATATGTGTGCGTAAATTGCGTGCGTGCAATTGTGTGTGTTGTTTGGCGCGTGTGCGTGTGTGCGTACCATCTGCTCGGCGTCGTCGTGCAGTCTGACGGCGAGGTCTGAGAGCGAGTCGGCGTCGTCGTCGCGCAACTCCCCCGCCCCCGCCACCGCCCCCGCCCCCGCCACCGCATCGCCCCCCTCGCACATCTCCACGATCTCCAGCAGAGCGCCGTCCAGCTCCTGGCGCATAAATATATATTATACATTGATTAACATTGCGAAGCGAGATTGAGTCTTACAAATTTGATGTGGACAGTTGAGAGTTTATTTGTTGTAATGAACACAAGTTTGCTACGATAATCATAGTGCAGGTGAAAATATTTTATGATTAAAATTGTCTTTAACGCTAGTTTCTGATCTGAGGTTGAAATTTAAAATGGGAATCTTTTGTAGAAAATGTTTGTAAAATTATTTGGCACTGTGCGGTGACGAAACCGTGTTGCCCTGGTGATACATCCAGAAGAGAAAATAACTATTCTTTTGTGAAAAATTCGGTAATCATTTAACATTAGACGAACGGTGGTTCTTTTTCAATTTTTATTCATGGAGATTTACAACACGGTAGGTTGCAAATGCTTCGCCAACCTTTACAAAAATGGTTCCCGGTCATCAGAGTTATTACATTATATCATATATCTATTTTATGCTGCTCTTTTTTTAAAGTCTTGGCGCTTCTACGAATGAGCCTTTCCAATTGTACAATAGTAGAAGCTGTCATTTGGTCTGATCGGTTAGAAATATTTTTTTTTAATTTGCAATTTTCGTCGAGCAAATTAAGAGTCACCACTAACAGGAAGCTCAACGAAATATTCGCCGCCAAAGAGGGGAGCGGTTCTACGTGCCATATTATTTATTCAAATTCGCTGAGTTATCAAGCGTCAAGTGCCACTACCGAAACAACAACTGACTTCGTGTCGCAGTCGCCAAGGCGTGGGTTTCGGCGTCGGGGGTCGTGGGTTTCATTCCCACACGGGATAACTATTTGTTGCGACCCAAAGGTAGTTGTCTCGCATAGGGGTGTTTGTAAAATGCCCTTGCTCTAGGATAATGTCATCCTAAAGCAAGAGAGACGCGTGAACCAAGCACAACATAGGGGGCAACATAAGGGGCGCGGTCGGCGTCGCACCTGCACGGGCGTGTCGGGGTGCACGGGCCGGCCGTCGCGCAGCACCGCCGCGGCGGCGGGCGCGTGCCGGCGCAGCACGGGCCGCAGCACGTGGCGCAGCGGGCGCGCGCCGCGGCAGCGCACGGCCAGCACGCGCGCGCCCAGCGCCAGCCGCACCACCGCGCGCCGCTCCACGCGCGCCTCGCGCCCCGCCAGCGCCGACGACGCGCCGCCCGCCTCCACCGCGCGCCACACGCCCTGCGCGCCACGCATTATTTATTATTTATTGCAATTACCTTAAGCAAACATTACAAAGGGCGAACTTAATGAAAGGCGAACTTAATGCCTTTTGGCATTCTCTCCATGTCAACCCGGGGCGTGGTGAGAAATCGTGGTAGGTGCAATAATTATATTAATTATTTATATATATTAAAAATATACAATATATACACATACAATAAATAATAATACAATTTTACCATTGCAAAACATTCTCACAACATACAACCGACTACCTCACCACACGAAACGCACAAGTGCACCACTTCCACTTCACGCCGGTCTTCCGTGAGGTGGTAACACCTCACAGATACCTGCCCATCCGTGCAACAGCCAACTGTCGCGTGGCCCTACCACGGAATTAAAAGAAGGATCGAGACAGGATTTCTCCCACGAATTAAAAAGTCATACCTGGTCGTCGCGTAGCAGCACATCGTAGGCCAGCACGGGCAGGTTCCGCCGCTGCAGCAGCCGGTCCACCAGCCTCCTGACGGGCAGCGCCTCCTCCACCCCCACCACCGACGTCGCCCCGTCTGGGAGCACCACGCGGCACAGAGCGCTGGCCCCCTGCCCGCCACCGCTTTTCACCACCTGAGCGAACGCGGACGTCCATTTTAGTTTTTAACCGACCCCAAAAGGAGCCTCTCAATTAGACTGTATTTTTTTTTATGTTTGTTACCTCAGAACTTTCGACTGAAAGGAATGATCTTCGGATATACTAAGGGACCTTCTAAAAATCAATTATGAAATGAGTACGGAGAGAGATATTTGAAGTCAGTGTTGTTTTTCGTTAATAATTTATAAATAAACTGTAGAAATTTTTCAGTGCTGCCAAGATTCAAACCGACAAATGTGGAAAATTCATTTCTCACTAACATAGAGTTAAGAAACTAGTAAAAAGCAAGGGACGAAATTTTTGGTTATTTTTCTTTCATTACGCTGAAGAAGACTTGTTACGAGCGTACAAAAGTTCACACACATGGTTTTTTAGTTGATAAACTGTCATAAAGCTTTCAGTGTCGCCAGGATTCAAACCAACAATGTAGAAAACTATTATTTTTTTTTTATAGATAAATTGTAGAAAACCTTTCAGGCCCTGGCAGGTTTGAATCAACAAATGTGTAAAAATTACTTTATTTTTTATTGATAATATGAAAAGTTCGTTCGACGCTGGTTGGGTTATAAGGTTTTATATCTAGATTATTGGTCATACCCTCTGGCCAACAGAACTAAGCAATTTATCTGTTAAAACACATAATAGTGATATTTTTAGCAATAAAATTAGTCAAATATTGCAACAATATTGGTCAATAGTAAGAAAATCTTACACGAATCGTCATCAAAGTATAAGGTAAAAGACCCAGTTATTGACCCTGACCCAGTTAGTGACACTTCCAACGTTATTTTAAATTTAAAGTAAAAACATTTTGTTAAAAAGTTTTATAATTTTTTTTTAAAATTTAAATTAATTAATTATGTACGTAATTAATTAAATTTTCAACCGTCAAAAAAAATAACTATAAAAATTTTTTTAAGCGTTGAATGACTGTGGAAGCCATTTTTAAGCTATATTCTAAGCAGCATACGTAAGAGCGCTCTTCGATCAAATCACTCAATTATTTATCATGAAGTATAAAAATATATAGATTAGTTAATAATTATATATTATTTAGTTTTTAATTATAAAATATCACATTAAATCACATTTATGTATTAAAATGTGGGTGTCAACAACTAGGTTCATTTGTTTAGAAATGCCACAGTTATTGACCCCCCAATTCTAACCTATTATCGAGGTTATTTGGTTGTAGTAACACCTCCAAATGTGCCTTCTCCATTCAAAAATGCTTTGTTTTGGCCCTCAAAAGACAAAGATTTGAAAAAACGAAAAGCCAAGGAAAAAATTCCAACTGTTTATACTTCTGACTTATGGTTGAAATACTATGAGAATAAAGAAGCAAGGAAACAGAAACTAGAAGATGAAAAGGAACTTAAAAAAGCTGAAAGGCAAAGAAAACAAGCAATTAAAGAAGCAGAAAAGATAATAAAAAAAGAAAAACTCGAAGAAAAGAAGAAGAAAAAGTTGTCAACGAAGCAAAAGAAAAATCATTAAGATTAATTTTAAATATTTGTAACAGTTTTTTTATTTGTTAATAATACTTAAATGTAACAAAAAAGTGTTTTAATTATAATAAAAGTTTAATTTATCTTTTATTGAATGAATTTCGTTTATTTTAATTAAATAATGTAAACCTAATCGATAATGTATAATTTTTATAAATGAGTGTCAGAATCTAGGCCGACGTCAGTGTCAGAAACTACAACACAAGAAATTTTGAGTGTCAGAAACTAGGTCCTACAAGGTCACTTTTTAAAACATTAATTTAAATTATAAACTGATTCCATATCATTCTTTCGCGTTCATGATCTTTTCAAGAAATTTTAAATTTTTTTATGGTGTAAAAATTATTTACTCCAATTAAATATTATAATAATTATTGCATTATAACCTCTACCGTCACTCTTAGTGTCAGAAACTGGGCCCTTTACCTTACTCGATTTATTAATATCCGTAATAAAACCCGCGCTGGGCTCAAGCATACAAACAACTGTTATTTAATTCGCGCTATAAATAAGCCGACCATAAACATAAAGTTGGCAGAACAAACACGGCGATTAGATTAAAGTCGCGGAAACAATGATATCGGCAGATCACGACAGTAGCGACAGAATGACAAATCATTCGATACTGGTGGGGAAAGGTTTTTTTTTTTTTTTTTTTTTTTTTATGTGAAAAGTTGCCAAACGAGCAGACGGTTCACCTGATGGTAAGTGAATACCACCGCCCATGGGCATCTGCTACACCCGAGGGTTACAGATGCGTTGACAACCTTTTGAAAATTGGGCTCCGGCTACCTCACTCACCAGACGAAACGCGAAAGTATTTGTCATACTTCCACTTTACGCTGGTCTTCTGTGAGGTCGTGGTACTTACCCGGACGGGCCTGCCCATTCGTGCAACAGCCGAGGCTGCTGCGTGGCCCTACCACCGTTATAAATTGGTGTAGGTGTCAAATCAATTGTCGTTAACATCGCCATTTCTTTGCTTATTTATCAATTATCAATTTATTATTGACAGATGGCCCATATGAATGGTTTACGAAAAGGGAATCCTATCTAAACTCGAGGGTTACCAACATTTCTTCGAGTGAAAATATTTTGAAAAAGATAAGGTTCGAAGGTTGTAGGGACGTTTTACATACATAAATTTCACGCGGACAATCGGCCAGATGCGAAACAAAAATTTTCGGGTCGCACAAACAGTCGTCTCGTGCGGGAATCGAACCCGTACAAGACGGGATTACTTTCATCAGTGCAGAATGTCACGGGAACATTTCTCCCTGGACACTTGGGAGGTACCGTTGCGGCAGTTTTGAACTGGCAACCGTCGCAAATGTAAGAAATGCTATCGCGTTCCGCAAATACAGTCCCGACGGGTGTGCAAACATTTGCACTGCGCCGAGTAATATTCCACGCCATACTACAAGTCACCTTCCGACGGCACAATTTAGTATAATATCATAGCGTTGATGGCTCCGTGGCGCAGTTGCCAAGGTATCGGCTTTGATCGTGGGTTCGATTCGAACAACTATTGGGAGCCACAGATAATCGTTTATGAATAACTAGCGACCAGCCGCGGCTTCGTACGGGTGCAATAACATACATATAAAGCATCCTCTTTAATTATTCTATCTAATAAAAAAACCGCATCAACAGACAGACAGACGGCGGGACTTTGCTTTTAACCGACTTCAAAAGGAGGACGTTCTCGATTCGACTGCATTTTTTTTATGTTTGTTACCTCAGAACTTTCGACTGAGTGAAAGCATTTTGACGTTTCGTATTATATTTGAAAGCCGGTGCTTCCCATGTGGTCGCATATTAATTTCATTTGTGTTGGATCTCGCTCCGGAGATATTTGCCGAAATCAATCATAGAACGAATACCGAGAGAGATATTCGAAATCGATTTTGTTTTTCGTTAGTAAAAAAAAAATGGTTATTTTCTATGTGGTGTGATAATACAACAATAATAATGGGTATTTGTTCGTACAATGCATAATAACGTTTTTTTTTTTATGTGAGAAAGTGGCAAACGAGCTGGCGGTTCACGTGATGTTAAGTGAAGCCTGCCCGTGGACATTTGCAACACCCGTAGGGTCGCAGATGCGTTGCCACCTTCTCAAAGTGGGCCCCGGCTACCTCACTCAGCAGACGAAACGCAGAAGTGCAACACTTCCACTTGACGCCGGTCTTCTGCGAGGTCGCGGTACTTCCCCGGACGGACCTGGCCATTCGTGCACCACCGTAATGATAAGGTCTAAGGTATTTTGGTGCGGCGGGCGGATACCCACGTCGGCCAGGGGCTGCTCCTGCTGGGGCTGGGGCCGCTCGCGCGAGGCGCCGCGCAGCTTCCACGGCAGCAACGAGGCGCCGCCGCTCCTTCTCCGCTCCGACGCGTTCGACGCGGACTTCTTCAGCTAAAAAGGGGAACGGAGTGAGTTTACTCGATTACAAGTTATAGGGGAAACTGTTTTTTTTTTTACGGATCTATAGCGTTTATTTAAGAAATCGAAAGCGAGTCAAAAAAAGAGAGTGAAGTGGTCATTTTTATTTTAAGAGAGGCTCGTAAGGACAGGTAACACGACCTCACAGAGCAGCGGCGTTGAGTGGAAGTGTGGTATCCGATCCGTCGAGTGAGGTGACCGGGGCGCACTTCGTGAAAAGGTTGCAACGTGTCTGCATGCCTACGGGTGTTGATTGTCATCGGCCGTCACTTACATCAGTTGAACCGACAGCTCGTTTGCCACCATCTCGCATTAAAACCTCGGCGGACGTAATGTCTTCTGACGCTGCAAGTCGAGAGCGCCCTACAAACCTTCCGCGGAACAGAGGCCTCTACGATATACCGTCACCAACTAATCCAGGGCGCTGCTCGCCTTGGGTGGGGTAACGACCTCTAGCTACTAATCAAGCGCCCTACAAACCGACCGCGGTGGAGAGGCCTCCGCTTAGTACCATCACCCACTAGTCCAAGGTGCTCCTCACCTTAGTGGGGATAACACCGTCCACCCTACAAACCGTCCGCGTTAGAGAGGCCTCCGCTTAGTACCGCCACCAACCAGTCCAAGGTGCTCCTCACCTTGGTGGGTGTGGCGTCCTCCTGCGGCGCGTATGGCGGCGGCAGGCCGCGCAGGTCCGCCCGCGCACATTCGGCGTGCACGCCCGAGCGCAGGAAGCGCGGGTAGCTGTCGAACTTCATCACGTTGAAGATCTGCTTCTGAGCCTGCAAAAGGGGGGGGGGGAGTCATTAGTATCGTACTATACTATTACGATCGCGGATTTGACGTCTTGTATGTCAACAATACGTCTGGAACGACGTCATTGCTCCAAGTGCAATTAACAGTAAAAATAACCTATACATATCCCACAGCTAAGCAAAGGCCTCCTCTGTGCAGAGGTTATCAGGGCATAGTCCACCACGCGACCCCAGTGGATTGGCAGACTTGACATATCTTCGAATTCCTTTCTTTTTGTGTTATTATTTCGAAAATATGCAGGTTTCCTCAGGGCTTTCCTTCATCGCCGAGGTCGTGACAAGTCAGCGCTTACTATTAACAATTTCAATGGTGCCGGCACCGGGGGGAGCGCCAGAAAATCGAATTATATAAGAGAGAGAGAGAAACGGTTGTCTCACCTGCAGGAACAGGTCATCCGGGGGCGGGCGCAGCTGGCGCCTGGAGGCGGCCGCCCTCCTCGCCGCCGCGTCCACGTTCACCGGCTCCGGCGCGCCGTCGGCCAGGTGCCGCGCCCAGATCTCCGCCGCCAGCTGCTCGCGAGCCGTGGCCGCGCTGCGCGAGTACTGCTCGCAGGACCACCAGAACCTGGTCACGGGGGGGGGGGGACATAGGCTCCGTGAGAACTTGTTTTCTTATCCGACTTCAAAAAAGAAGGAGGTTTTTGTTGGAAAGGAAATATACCAAGGGTGGTACCTTGATAAGGAAACGCGGAGCTGATGACGGCTTCCCAGGAAAATCGAGGGCAATCCTCAAATGTTACAGGTGTTGACAATATTTTTAGTTTCCCGTTTGAAGTCTGTTTCTTTTTGTTAAAAATTATAAATATTTTATGTGGCAAACGAGCTGGCGGTTCACCAATGACCACATAGTATAGAACAAAGTCGTCCCGCCGCCTGTCTGTCCATATGTATGCTTAGATCTTCAAACTGTGCAACGGATCTTGATTCGGTTTTTTTCTACTCGATAGAGTGATTCAAGAGATATGTATGCGCTGCAATAAGTCACGATGGCTTATTATTAGGTGAAAAGTCTTCGACTATGCCTAAACATAAAGCCAAAGAAGGAAATTGAATGTAAGCACCAGCTGTGCAACCGATCTGGCGGTTCACCTGATGTTAAGCGACAACCGCCGCCCGTGGACATTTGCAAAACCCGTACGGTTGCAGGTGCGTTGCCACCTTTAAATGAAGCGGGCACCGGCTACCACGCTAGCCAGACGAAACGCAAAAGTGTAACACTTCCACTTAACACCGGTCCTGTGAGCCCGCGGTACTTCCCCGGACGGACCTTTAACGTTTCCTACCACGGTTATCTAGTCCTACACTTCGGCTGTGAGTAAACAGTAAGCGCGATAAGATGGCAGCGCCAGTGTTTGGGTCCATGAGTTTCCATCGGGGATCACCTTATGTTTTCGGCCGCGAACTCCTTGGCGAGGAAGTGGGCGAAGGCCGCCGCCCCAGCCGGGTCCGCGAGCAGCTGCTCCAGCCCCAGGGACCATCGGGCCACGCCGCCGCTGGCGCCGCTCACGCCGCCCGCGCCTTCGCTCATTTGCTGCGATGGACACCATCGAACATATGCTTATGTAATATTCTTTTTTTTTTACACAGAGCGCAGGAAAAATATACATATATGTCCCACCGCTGGGCAAAGGCCTCCTTTATACAGAGGGTATCAGGGCATAGTCCACAATATTAACAATTTCATTGGTCCTGGCGCCGGGGATCGAACTCAGGTTGCTCGAGTAAATTGAATTAAAGGTGAGTGCCCTGAAGTGGACACTGAGCTATCACAGCTCTAGTAAGTTTATACTCCTCCGAAACGGATTTTGATGAAATTTTATATGTATATTTTTTATGTATACATAGAGCCTATCTCTCTCCCCCATGGTTCCATACATCGTCTACGGGCATGATGATCATATCAGAACTTGCCAAATCGGGTTCGCGATCGAAAAGATGTCGAGTGGAACTCAGTTATCATCACAAAGGAAGAAAGTATCATTTATTTGGTACATATAAAACGAAATACAACAGATAATATAAACTAAATAAGTACAAAAAAGCTGGAGCAAAGGCTTCCTCCGCTCAGACGGTATTAGGGCATAGTCCACCACGCGACCCAACTGCGGATTGGCGTACTGCTATACGCTTGGAATTTTTTCTTTTACTTTTATTTCGAAAATATGAAAAAAAACCTAAACAACAACAATTAAAAAGCATCAAAATGGTCTCCAATCAATTCTGAAACGCAAAGTGAAACACCTTCGATAATACTGGTCTGCAGTGGAACCGTGAATTATCATTACGAAATGGGAAAGGCGCGTCGGTTCGAGGCTATTATTGCGCCGATACTTTCGAAGTTGCTGGTTCCCATCGCCTGGTCCCGTTAACATCCGGAAGTAATCGCAGCGGCGATTGGCCAATTGGATATTACCATCTTCCATTACTATCGATGGGTCTAAGTTTTCTATTTTTCGGAGGGAATCTTCACGGTCGAAATGTCCAAAGGTTTTGAATTAGCTGACTGATGGATTGTCAGTATAAAACGATACAATAGATTTCCCCCGTAGTTGTACACGGCGGATGATTTACTAAGGTTTATTTTTACTAGGATTTTCACTCGATATAGAACCGGGTAAATCGAGAGCCAGTCGAGCCTGGAACCGCGTGTATCAACACCTGGTACTCTGCTGTCAATGTCATCCATTGATGTTTTAATAAAGATGACGCGTGTCCATACTGCGCGGCGTTTAAAAAATGACTTCCGGCTTATATTAGACGTCAAACATAAGTGAATGTGACAGAAGATATAGAACGTATGATACGGAAAGAGATAGCAGATAATACAATTGCAATGTAATTGCCAATCGGCGTAATTTGAGCGCCCGTTTCGGTGCTCCAGTGTCATATCTATCTCGTTTATGTATATAATATCTTCAGTCGCCAAAGTACCTTATTGTAGATGTTGCGGTGATCTTGATGGCGGTAGGAGCTGCCGGCGCCGCTGCCGGTGGTCCAGCGGCGAAATGGCGACGACTGCTCGCTCTGCGCACAGATAAGAAAACAAATAAGCGTCACAATTACAACTCGAAAGCAGTAGAAGTAAAGTGACAGCCTATACACATCCCGCTGCTGGAAAAAGACCTCAGTGGGTATTTGGGATTTCACATATCGTCGAAATATTCAGGTCTCCTTAAAATGTTTTCCTTCACTGTTCAACACGTGATAAGCAGTAATTGGACAAATAGCAAAGACAACATCCTAACATTCTCAGACTTAACAATTCATCATAATCATTATATCAGCCTGTTTAAGTGCGCAACGACTGCGCTGCACAGACTGCCACGAAACACGATCCTGAGCCACCTGCGTCCACCTACTACGCGTCCTCTAATCTATCTAGGCTTTAATTACATTCCTATAACTTTTACCTTAGCACGCTTATAAAATCTTCCTAAATAAAGATTGCAAAACCACCAATCAAATAGCACCGAGGACGACAACAACACACTCCGATGGTACCACAACTTAATGTATTCCAAAACTGTTTCTGCACCACATTCGAAAGCGCAAACAACGTTTCAGTCAATAACACGTTCCAATACACAATTTATTACAATACACGTTCCAGTTCATTCATAACGAGTTTCACAGAGACCGTGGGAACTGCGCTCGGCGATTATCGCTCGCAATACTCGGACGGCGGTCTACGTTTTCGCGATGACCCCGTCGGGTCGCCATCCAGGGCTCGTTACGATGTGCATCCATCTAGAAAGCTGACGCGTAACGATTTATAGTTCGCACGAATCTCTCGGCAATCTCACGCCCGGTTTCTGAAACGCCGATCATCGTAGATGTAAACCAATCAGCTGTCAAATGATTTTTCAAATGTCATTTGAGTTGCCGAAAGGATGGTTCAACTCTTTGAATTGATCACTCTGATCATTGAGAAGATAATTATTATTACAATTATAACCAGATAATTATTATTACAACGTATTAGTAAGTAGTTATTATTAGTAAACGATGGTTAAACTCTTAGAAAAAAACTCTTGGACAAAACGTTGAAAGGCTGTAACGATGGACGAAACCGCCCGGCGCCCCAAAGACATCCGATTGGTCGAAAATAACGACCTTTTTCGATACGACCTTAATAAGAGTTAAGTTGAGGGCGGGCAGGCGGTTGATTTTGCAATAATTAGAATTTAACCCTTCGATTGTACTTAACTAGCAATTGTTGAATGTAATGTCGATTTCGTTAAGCAATAAATAATAACAAAGTTTTCAACACGTCTCGCACGAGTGCCTAGTGGGATTCTAAAAAGATTACGTTGTATAAAGCAATATATTATGTGGATTTATGAACATCGCGAAAAGTTTATAAATGTTCTATTCGATAAATTTCCCCCGTGTTTGTAACAGTGGAAAATTTACCAAGCCACCATCCACATAGTCCTTGATCTAAAAAAAATATTTAAAACTCTTTCGCGCATTAAAATCATAAAAACGATACGGTGATAAATCAATTATAATAAATAGATTATACAAGTGGATTGTTTATGTTGTATTAAACTGGTAACGGTTGTAAAAGTCAGCAAGCCGGAGCAAACGAGGTCGTCAAAATTTTAGTTTATTTTACTATAGACAGAACTGCTTCCCCAATGTATGATGACCTGGATATATCAAGGTTGCTGATATCAATGGCTTGACCCGCTTCGATTTGATAAAATAGACACAGCCTAGCGTTGACTTGTAAAGAGGTGCATTTATTTTACGGTTCCAAAAATAGATTTATCTCGATAAAGACGGATGATGAATATAATGTTGTCACATAGGTAAACTACTACGATATACAGAATATGTAAATTTCGCATTTATTTGATTTCCGCATTTATGAGCACTGCTACTACGTGTTTTACAATTGCGCCGATAACGGATATAAGAGATATTGAAATGGAATTACCTTTCAATTATAATAACATAGACATGTGACATATTACTACTGATGCCACAATGAGTTCTCGTTTTTATTTCTCATACAAGTGGAGAGAAAAATAAAATTCGACAAGATTTTTCCAGAGGTCTATAACAAACTACTTTTTACCTTAGACATAATATATTTATTAATTTCAGTGCAATACATTATGGTGGTAAGTTCTCGAGTGGCGACATTGAATAGGAAGACGTAGCGTTGGATGGCCTCCCTCTAGGTTGATCAACGACATCGTAAGAGTCGCAAGGGCAACCTGGTGCATGCAAATGGCAAAGTGTCGTCCGTTGGGGCTTTACAAGATGACATCTGGTGGTAAATTTTTATGCAGGCATCATGGGTTATTTACAAAACGAAATCCAAATGAGCGAAGGTGCAGGCGGCATATTGAATAATACTAAATGTCTGTTTCGGGAAGCGGATTGATAGGATCAATTATATAGCAATTACGAAAATAATTTAATCAAATCAAATCAAATATATCTTCATTCAAATAGACGCTTGCGCGTTCTTATGAATCGTCAGATTTTACATAAAACATTATATATGGGTTTGTAAGGTACCACCGCCGGAAAGCAATTCTTGTTGAGACCGGCAAGAAACTCAACAGTTGCTCTTTTTCAAAAATAGCAGTTTACAATTTTTTTTACTTTTTTTTTTAAAAACGTTGGCCTTACTTGAGGATTTAAGATAATGTGTTGTAAGGACATTTTACAAACATAAATTTCACACGGACAAACACCCAGATGCGAAACAACTATCTGTGGGTCACACAAATAGTTGTCCCGTGTGGGAATCGAAACCACGACCCACGACGCCGAAGCCCATACGTTGGCATATGCGCCACGGAGTCATCAAAAATAAATACAGGTATAATAAATAGCATGCTTAGTTACTCACATTTTGAATTACCATGAACCAATGTTGAAGTGCAAGAATTTCTCGGTACCTTTACAGGCTGGGCGTTTGCGAGTGATGCTTTTTCAAACGAGCACAATGTACTAAAATTCCAGACATTCCGGAATTCCCCGCAGTGTATTTACACAGGCTCGTCATTCGCTCCGCCGCGAGAAGATTCACGCCGTACAGTAAATAAACACACGGACACTTATCAACTGAATGAAATACTGTCCAGCGATACGATTACAGAATTTAGTTTTATTTTTCTTTTTTTATATTTTTAATAATTCGCTAGTAAATTTATCAATTGATCAACAAATATAGAATCATAATTTCATCAGCCTGTTTGGGTCCACTGCTGAGCATAGGCCTCCCCCATAGGCTGCACGATCATGAGCCCCCCGTTTCCCCCTTACAATTGGAACCCAAAATATATAATGTTATATTATATCCATAGCTCATCTATCGATATCTGAGTAACTGATGCCTTTATATTGTTTTATATACCAAAGATTTTAAAGTGGTTTTACTAGTGGAAATCAATCAAGAATGCGTTGTAAAATGAACAAACTGGTATTAGTTAGTATGTTCGTATTTTGATAATGTTACGAAGTTAGTAGCAATAAAATATCAAGCTGGTTACAATAACACATCGTTACCTAAAGCGTTATCAAAACTGGAGGCCGTTCCTAGAATCGTTTTATTAATAAGAACTGGCCTTAAAACGTGTAGTAGTAGCAGTTTTCCCCTTGCGCGTAACCGTAAACCATTTCGTAGTAAACGGGTTCTTGTTTAATAATGGTTTAATTGAAGCTTTCTCGGTAATTGGCTCAGAAACGTTGATTTCACAAAGAGCACACCATTTGTTTAGGATGTTGTAGGACGATTTTGAAGACCATCGTCTGACCAACCACGACAACTGTGCCGAAAATCAAGACGATGACCGAGAAAAGACCGACAAACCCAAAAATATAGTACAAAAATTCAACATTATAATCCAAACGTAACGCCACGCCGACATTAGCGTCATGAATGTGTTATTCAATTTCAGCATAATGAAACGGTACACAATCCTCCTTGTAGTTATACAAATAAACAAATGTAAGCATATGCATTTATGCATGCCAACGCATGACAATAAAGTCCCCGAACCAAAATAGCTTTCAATACAAATTGTTTTAGATGCCACACGTAGGGCGGAAAATTGAAATGTTCTTTACTGTCGATTTGATTGAGAAAAAAAGGAGGAGGTGAACAGAGGCAGTACTTTACCTGCTTACATATCTGCCTCCTTACGTAGTTCGAATATGGAAAAGCTAAAAAAAAATTATGCCAGTATCAGATTGCTTTTGTTATTTTGGCCTTCCAGAAGACCGGCATAAATTCGAAATATTTCTTCCGGCGATCGAGACAGCCGCGGCCCACGCTCTTTATGGTTGGCAAGGCATCTGCAATCGTACGGATGATGCTGAGTGCAGCAGTGATCACTTAACATCAGGTGAACCGCTTGCTCGTCTCGCACCTTGTCACATAAGAAACAGGTATCAAGCAAAATTACATTATATTTACCTCAACTTGACACTGATCTGTCACGTACCATACAACCATTTTCCCAATAACGACAAAATTAATTTTTGTCCAAATTTACATGCGGACAAATTTAGAGATGTGTTCCACACCCATTACAGTGCACAATTGAAACTTCACGCATTAAACCAGTCGAATTTGAGGTCACAACTTGTGTTCACAATTCTGATACGATTCTTATTTTAGGTGAGTAAACGCACCGAGTATTGTGATTCAACGTCAAAAACGACACGTGTTATAGGGATTCGTTACACAAGAACCACAATAGTATCGCACAGTCACATCACACAGGCGAATTGGATCCACTCTCCAAAGATCGGGCAAATCGAGAAACGACAACTACAGAGTCTAACAGCGCGGTTAGACGTGAGTGATTCGAGACTGTCGCCTCGCTCAGTTAGCACTTAGAAGTTAGCTGATCCCGCGGCTAACCGCGCCGAGGCGGGGCGACATTCGACGTCCGACAACAGACTGCCGGGGCGGCGGCCCGTCGGCGCGGGCGATCCATCGCGATGCAACGCGACCAATTACAATGACAATGGCGATGAGCGAATGGCCGCGCATCCGG